ATTTTGAATTCCCTTGCTGTCCCATAATTTGTTTTAGAGCCATATATGAGATTATTGCTTATTGTCTAATTCAAATCTAGAACGTGAAAAATAATTTTGATTGTTTCCAATAACAAGTGATTTTGAGATATTGAGTATGATAGTGAAAAATAATTGATGAGGAAAATTAAGAATTAACTGAATTGGAGAAGCTAGCCAAAACCAGGTGAGTAGAGTACCAAAAACAGATAAATTGAGTGTCAACACTTTGTGATGATAACTGATATTGGTTGATTCTTTGATGTGATTACATGTTGGCAAGACTTGAAAATGATAAAGGCATTTTTTCTTTGTAGTAGATATAACTCAGAGCCAAATAGCCAACCCTGCATTAATTATAGGACATCCATTTGAACCCTTCTGAGCCAAAAATAATATTGTTTATTAAACAGAACCCTTAAGCATAAACACTATTTATCTACCTTCCTATATTTGAGAAAGGAAATGAGTATGAATGTCACTATTTTTCTTATTGTTGGGTATTGCTATTGTTGTCCTACAGGTATTGTTAGGGTGTTATTGTTAAAAAAAATGTAAAGAAAAAGGAAAAGCAAAGCTTTAAAATTGGCAAAGCCAAAAAAAGGATACATGCAAAAGCATGAAAAAAAAAAAGAGAAGTCAAAAGGGGAGTAATAACTTGTGAGATTATTAACTCATTGTCATTGTGTTAGGGACAAAAGCATGAAGTTTGAAACCTAACTTGAGGAATTGTTAATCAAGAATCATTCATATGAGTTGAATTTCTCGAATATTTTTGTATATCCCAGAAAAACCAATAATTCTTTCTTAGTCCAACCCCATTACAAGACTCAAAAAACCTTTTGATTTAAGTCTTGTTTAACAATTGTTAATTGCTTGAAGATGATTATGAATATTGGATTGTCTAAATGAAGTGATTGAATGAGATAAACATTTACCTGTGAGAATTAGAGATGAGTATATATAACTCTATTTGAGAGATCATGCTTCTCTGAGGATAGTTGAGGACTAATTATTCTTTATTGGTTTCTAGAACTTGAATGCTTATGTGTTCTATTTTCATTTGGAGTTGAGAGCATCACTTTCGAAAATTTTTATGATTCTAGAAGAGAAAGTGATAATAGGCGATGGTTTTGTTTTGAAAAAACTACTTTGCTTGGGACAAGCAAGATTCTAGGTTGGGGGGAGTTGTTAAGTGGTAAAAAGTTGATATAATTATGCCTTGAATTGTTATGAAACCACTTAACTTATGTTAATTCTAATATATTTTTCTCCCAATATAGGATGAATTGGAGAATACCTTGATACAAGAGTAAGGAACATAATTGTTAGCATAATTGGAGTAAAATTAAAAGAAAGAAGAATGCTTAAGCGAATGAATGATGTGAGATCCGTCCCAAATTCTCTTATAAAAAGATAAGTTGTGTTTTGAGAAAAGAAGCAGTTTTGGAGAAGAGGAGGCATGACTACTGTTAGGGTTTTGTCCAATCTTCATAAATTCTTCACTTCTTCATCAATTAGAGCATTGTAATGACCAACATGAGTTGCTAACTTCATTCTCTTGGGATTGGGTGCATTTCCTTTGAACTCTTTTGTATCATGGTGATATTTTGATATATTAATCTATGCTTTGATGTTGTTATTATTATCCTTTATGCTTTGATTTATTCTTGAAGTTTGGGGTATGATTGGAAAATATATCTTGAACCCTAGATCACGGTAAGAATATTTGTTACGTTAATTGCTAGGAATGGAATGAATGTATCAATTGCTTAACACCCTAACCCTAATGCTGAAAAATCTCTTAATTGTGTGAGGAATCAACATTTATTAGGTTTTCTTATGAATTTCATGTGTGAGGAATCAACATGAATGATTTGAGTAGGTGACATCAACATTGTTAGGTTAATTGACGTTCTTAATTGATTTAGCCATTACAAAAGAGGGATAAGGAAGGAAGTCAATCCTAAGTACCTTTAATTGATATTTTCTCAACAATTTACAGTTCTTTGTCATTTAATTTCAATTCAACTCTTATTTGCAGAACCCAATCTGTTTAATATACTTAATAAGCATAATTAGGAATTTTCATTGAAACTGTTCCTCGTGGGATTGACTTTTATTTAATCGAAATATTATACTGCGATTGATAATTTTGGTACGCTTGCCAATATTTCAACAGTGAGCTTCAAGGATGAAAACTGCATTATAAGAGTGATGGCAAGAGATTTGTCTGATGTAGTAAATTTCTCATCAATGGCCTTCAATAAATCTCTCACATTGTCATAATGATCAACAGAACCCCAAATTCCAACAGAAATATTGGTTTTTTAAAGGTTACGGAGAGATTATTTGATCTCTCCCACTTTTCATAAAGATCAACAACATCTGAAATGTTGGTCTCAATCGATGGTTCAAGTTTCTTAATAGCATAATCAATGTCCATCCAACCTAAATGGAGAAAAAATCTCTCCTTCCAAATCTTATAATTGTCACCTCTCAATTCAGGAACATCATACTTGATATCAGAAAAAACTCATAAATTGCGAGACTGCAAAGTTTAAAATACATGCTCATTACTAAAATTTGATATTATAATGTATATCATATCTTATCAATATAAGAAATGTCTTAATTAACTAATCTAATGATATAAAACTTGCTTGTGGGCTAAAGTCATATTCAATTTATACTCGAACTTTATGACAAAACTACTAGACTATGTTCCTTTTCTTAACTCGTGTGAGTAAATTAAGAAATATAATCTAATATTTTATCCTAATCAATCATACTTTTGTAAGGAGATTCTTGTGAGTATATTTTATTACATTACATGTAGTTAATTACAATTAATGTTTACAATATAAATATTAATAAATTAAAGATGTTGTGACTACTGTGTAATTTATTAAAATTACTTCTACCACTCAACATTAAGAGAATCATATATTTGCATTTAATAATTTTTATAATATAAATAAATAATAATAATAATATATAAATATATTTTAAAACATACAATATATAAATGATCAATTCATAACACATAAAAAATCTATGATTTAGCGGTTGTTTATTTAAACCCCAATCTAGTTAAGGGTTTGATTACTGAGGCCAAAAGTTATTTTTATTCTTAATTAAGATTGAGAGAAAAACACATATGCGAAAAATATTTCGGTTCCATGTCGAGCGTTAATGTTCCGTCTAAAATAAAAAATATTTCATATAAGATCAATAAGATATTTCAAGTAGGTTAGGAGAGAAGAATATATATAAATTATTATTTGTTTCAACTTTAAATGATGTGAAACTCATAAATTATATAAATTACTATTAATTTTGACTTTTAAATTATGTGAAACTCGTAAATGTAATTAAACACTTTCCAATACTAAAATGTTTAAAAATAAGAAAATCACTAAGCGTGTTCTCCATGGTCCCTTAGACAAGTTATTGGTGATAATCATGTAAGCTTTAACCAATGACACCACAAACATATAATATAAACGGATGATTTGATCTCGATATATATGTAAATAGATTTTACTCGCATATATCCGTTGCATGTTTTCTTGTCACCATGACTCTTGCTTAGCGTGAACAGAAAGGTTTTGCACCACCTTCTTAACACACCACCATGACTTTTGGGAACTTCAATCACTTTTATAACATTATTGGCTAAAATATATTGATAATTTCAAAATAAATAAAAAAACAAACCTTTTTAAATGAAAGAATTTGTAATTTGTAATTTGTAATAAATTTAAATTAAAAATAAAATGTGTATTAAAAAAAATGTGTTACTATAATGTCAATATTGTTTAAAACCCACTATTTCTATGGTTTGCAAATGCTGTCAAGAATGAGAAGGGCAGAGTAACAGGTACTCTAATGGAGGTCAATGGCTCATGGTGGTGAGAGTGAATAAAACTCCTTTTCACATGAAGCAAGAGGCATGTGGCAAATATGAATGTATGTGCTTTTAAATGATAATTTTAAATTTGAATTCTAAGTACAATTTAATCTAATATTTAAGGAGAATTTCATTATTTATAGTGATATACTCGATTTAATTAATAGAATTGTTTTCAATAAAAATATGCATTTACAGTGCAAACACTTTATTAACCTTTTTATTCTTCCTATTTTTCTCTTTATATTATTACATTATTTAGGTTAAATTGCAACTTTAGTTTTGGCTTTCCCTTTATACACAGCTTTGGTTCTCTTATTTTTCACCATTTTTCAGTTTTTTAAAATTTGCATTTTTGGTCCAATATTAATTTTGTATAAGTTTATTTACTTAATTTTTATGTTTCAATTAAATTAAATATTTCTTGAGGGCTTTGCTTAAAATAAAATTGAAATAAAATTACAATGTAAAATTTTAAAAAATAAATAAATTACAATTTAACTTGTTATTTGTTGCATTTACATTTTTTTGTATTCTATTTTTTTTTCTCTGATTATCTACTAACTTGAAAGGGTACCTATATATTATTTGCCTTCCTTCCGGCATGACAAGAGTACCACCATCAAGAAATAAAATAGCTTGAAAAAACTACTTGAAACTGGTAAAAGCTACTTTGCCATTTTGGAATAAACAATACATGTTTATCAGTTGTCACCAAGAGGTTGATATCTATAACTTTCAACTTCTTAGGTATCTCTTCAAGTATACACATATTTTCACACCCACTCTTTTTAAACATTCTATAAAAACAATCCTAAAAAATATTATTATTTTTATTGATGAAAAAAAATCAAATAAAATAATAAATAACAATATAAAAATATAAAAGTGAGTTGCTATATATGAATGATTGGAAAAAGTGAATTGTGAATATATAAAGCCATGGCCTCGGTAAACCAATATATAAAGCTTCTTGAAGCACCAAATTTTTTGAAAACACAACACTTTGAAGAGGCATGGCTCAACTTCCATTGCTCTTCCTACCAGTTTCTCTTTTCCTTTTAAGCTCCTACATTATGGCACAAATCATAACTCCACCACCTTCTTTGGCACCTATCTTCCCACCATCACCATCTCTTTCTCCTCTTCCATCGTCTCCTATGGCACCTATGATCCCACCACTTTCATCACAAACTCCTCCTCTTCCAACACCTCTTTTGGCACCTATTTTCCCACCACTACCATCACAATCTCCTCCTCTGCCATCACATTCTCCTCCTCTTCCAACACCTCCTTTTGCTCCTCCACCTCCAGTCGAAGGAACTCTTGTTACTCCACCACCTCCTGTTGAAGGAATTCTTGTTACTCCACCACCTCCTGCCGAAGGAACTCTTGTTACTCCACCACCTCCTGTTGAAGGAACTCTTGGTACTCCACCACCACCATTATCTCGTTTTCGACCACCATCTCTACTATAAGAGATGGCGATACATTTCTACTAGTTTAGTGTTGAGATAGGGACTAGTCCAGTGTATGCTTTTATTTTGTGTTGAGAGTGTTTCTGAATGTGATAATCTATATATATGTTTGCATGCATGTCATGCTTTTAAACTTTTACCCTACTAAATAAAACAATTATCTGTTTTACAAAAGAAAAAAAATTAGCCCATTTTTATTTGTTCGTTATATATATATATATATATATATATATATATATATATATATATATTTTTTTTTTTTTGTTGCAAACAATTGTGTATGATTTTTCAACGTAATTTACGACTAACCTTGGACTTCTGATAACTTTATAGTTGTGACAAGAAATAGCACCACAGAAAAAGGTTCTTAATTGCCTTACGGTAATCATAAGTAATTCCTCAAATGAAAGGGAGCGTATTGGACTCTCTGGTCAAAATGGAGAAGACCATGGCTCGTCCTTTGTGTTATAAGAGAAAATGGTTTTCTCATTTAATGACCAAAATCATAAGAACTTTTGTAAGAATTAAAACCATAAAACAGATGAATTACATTTGCTAACAATATATTTACATCATGAATTAATATACGGATGTATTGCCTTCAAATATTCACTCAGAAAAGAAATTGCACAAGGAAGAATAACAGTAGAAGCTACATTAACTCTTACATAAAAATTTAATCATGGTATAGAGAAAATACCGAGCTTGCAAAAATTAGGATATTATTTCCTCCAAAAGATCATCAAAAATCAAGTCATCTAGCTCAAGCCCCACACATTCAGAATCAAATTGGAGATTCATCCACCCATCATATTTTGCTAGATCTTGGCTCACATAATAATCCAATGATGTGTAATAATCATATATTGTTGAGTTGAGATACCAGCTAATAAGTTTCCACACATTGTAGAGAACATTTTCTCCGGATGGCATTGGATGAACGTGGGAGAGAGAAGACAATGGTCTTGGATAATAGCTGTACGATCTTCCAAAAATCTCCAACAACCCTTCATTTACTATATCAAACAGAAGCAGGTGATTACATTCTCCACCTTCCCCACTGTTACCAGAACAATCAGGATCAAGAAGCAAGCACCCCTCCAATTCTTCATACACTGAAGGATCAACTGGTTGGTTGTCAGAATACCATATCCCTGGGGAGATATGGCCAGTGAACCCAGAGAGATCTAAAACCTTTCTCACATAATTAAATGCAGCTTCATTACTTGGATCAACTTCAATACATGGAATTTCATAGTTGAAGCTATTGCTTAGAGTTCCAAGGTTTTGAAAATTCTCAACCTCCTCAGGGTGATCTTCTTCAGCCTCTTGTTGCTCTGCCACATGATCAAATCCATCCCCTTGCCTTGATTCTGGGTTTAATTGTTCTGTATAACGCAAGCATTCGAGGATCAATATTAGCACAAATGTAGAATCAACAGCTCTAGCCATGCAACTATGTTCAGGTAGTGTAAGTTAATATAGAAAATTTAATGATTTTTGAGTTTTGAAAAGGAATGACCAATTCAAAGTAAACTAACTGAGCTTATCATTCACAGAAGCATTGAATTGAAGTTATTTTTCTTGTTATACAGTTTAAGCATTCAAGTATCGAATGTAAAATTGGACTACAAGCACGTTTACTTACTCCACATTGGTAGTGACAAAACCCATCGCTTAACAAATAAAGTTCCAGTCAAGTTTGAAGTATACGACCTTTTTTTATCTAAAGGCCTAAAATATTTCCACATGAAAGATGATAGCTACACCATTCTTTCTACACCTCAACCCATCTCATTCATGCAATCAAAAGTAGGATAACGCAGAGATACAGTAACACAATTGTTTTTAAATGTTAATCTCTACTCAGAATTGAAGTTTTAACTCAGTATTATGTAGACTAATGCAATAGGAACATGCAGACACAGGAACGTGCTAAGTTAGAAGTTAGGGATGACAAAATGAAAGATTGAAGTGCAAAAGGACCAAATATACCTTCGGGTATGTCTAAGTTCTCAAGATCAAATGAAACATCAAGAAAGCTGGTATCAGAAGAGAAGACTGAGTTCGCTTCCGCTGGGTATGTGTCTGTTTCAGCTCCAATGTCTTGTCCATTGTCTCTCAACTTTTCTAATTCATCAATTCCTAAGATCTTATCTTCCTTTTCCTCAATGCTAAAATCTATTCCAGATTTTGAAGCACTCCTGACAAGCAGTTGCTTTTGGTCAGCATTCAAGTTGGTTTCTTGATTGTTACCAGCATGTGTAGTTGGAAATATTTTACTCTTGGAGCCATCACTTTGGTCAAACCTCCTATGAACAAGATCAATGTCATTTGGGTTGATGTTTCTATCTCCATATCTTTTCATTGAGTTCTGGGGGGATAAAAGAAAAGAAGGCTCCTCATTGTTGTGAAAGTAAGATTTCAAATTAGGCATTGAAAGATATCTTTTGAAAGATTTTGGAGTCTTAAATATAGAATTTCTCTCTTCTTCTTTCACTCTTGAGTTTTCATCCATAGGATACTTGGCTTCACTGTTAAAGCAAGTCTCGTACAACTGAGAATATCTTCCAGCTGATTCTTTTAGAGAAGAATTCCTCATGGGTGATCGTTGACGCTTGTTGAAGGACCTAGAAGAGAGACGACACCGAGAACCACTTGTTGCATTGTCTTCACCTTCCCCACTAGTAGTGGGGTCTTTGGACATGTCATGAATAAACTTCTTCACATTTTTTGTAAGCCTCTTTCCACGAGGAATTTTGTCAATTATAGCATCCATGGTAATGCGATGCCTTTCATTTCTCCCCTCTTCAATTATGCGCCTCATCTTCTTTCTAAGATCCCTGAAGTGTCTAGTTCTCGCATTGTTGGGAACCCGAGGTAAAACTGATGAAGAATTAGAACCTCTTTCACCCATTTGATCAGAATTATGTGAAGAACCAGATGGTATGGACTGTTGGTGAGAATCTTCTGAAGACTCATGCATGGATTTATTTTGCATGTTACTTTGAGCTGGTGTCTTTTCTTTTTCTGCATTTAACAAGTCATCCATCATTAGGTTTATGATTTGGCCTGAATCAGAATCTTGCCTTTGTGATGATGAGGCAGATACAGGAAATGAAAGAGATCTGGATCGTCTCAGATTAGCATTCAAAGATTGTTTACTGTGAGGGTGAAATGGCAAAGGAGAGCCTGGATCCTGTATATATTCTAACAGAAAGTCCTTGTTTGTGTTGATAACCTCCAATGCATCAAGAAAGTCCCTGAAGAGGTGGGGTGCAGCATCAGTTGTAAGTATCTTTGCATTGAACAACTTCTCTTCTGGGCCACCTTGATTAGGAGATGTCAAGTGCTTATGAATTTTGTTATGGTTCAAAATGTCACTAGAAAACATTGTGCCACAATCTACACATTTGTCATGGTGGGAAATTGGTTTACCAGAGAAAACTGGTGACAACATATCCAGTGTGCCGGCTGCAAGATGGTTCTGAAAGGTTTGTAGGACTGGTTCAGGGCTCTGAACAGTTAGTAACAATTCACTAAGTGGGTCAACCTCCATGTTGTGAACAGAATTAACATGAGCTAGTTGTATTTGTGACTTTGCAGGGCAAGTTGAGCTTCTCTTGTGTCGACCTTTCCTTCTGTATGTATCTTCACTGAGAAATGACCTTAATCGGGATCTGAGAGAACTTTTGGTTAGAGAAGAGGACTGTACCAGCTCTTCTTCATCCTGGAAAACATTAAATAGATGCTACTATCACCACACTATTAATAAAATAAGGATGTAATGGTCCAAAAATGCAAGATGACAGAGTCAGTACTAGAATGAGTAAGCACTCAATAGGGAGTAAGATATACGTAATAGCAAAATAAGTATTCTAGATGGAGAAATGAACTCAAGAACGATTGATAACTTCATGCCAAAAAAATGTCTCTAGCACCCAAAAGGCAAAAAACAACACCACAAAAATATGCTGAAAGCAACCAATTCATGTTTACTTACATTAGATAACTCTACATATGGCGTACAATGTTCCGGCATAGAGTTAAGCCCAGAATCATCAGAAGTTCCTGGAACTTCAGATCCTGAAAAGTGAAAGAAGTTGTGGCATTTATGAAGTGGAAACAGAAACTTTGTGATACATGAACAAAAACTGTCAGAATAAACCAATAGTTCTATTTTTTTTTATTTTTTTTTTGTAGTGTCATGCTATAACCTGGTAACTTTTATCTTCTACTCTATCATATATATTTGGCTTTAAAGGATCAACACAAATCAAATGTGAGAATAGTAGAAACGAAAATGTTCAAATGGATGTGTTGCTACACAAAAAAGATGGGATTTCATCATCAGAATTGGCAACCCAAGCTGCTATTGATGTCTTCTCAAGTAGTACTGGGGTGTCTCCCTGCTCTATAACATTTTTAAGGACAAGATATGAAATGATTGTAAACGAGCATATATTGGTGCAACACCAATTTAGGAAAAGATGTCCTAAAAATTGGTTAAAAAGGTTTGTAGAGACTACAAAGTAGGTCAGTAGAAGTATAGGTAAGGAGAATAAATTCCATGATTTTTAGTCTTCTGAAAAGCAAATGAGACCAAAAAAGACAGTAAGTGAAGTTAAGAGGGATCTCATTATAAATAATATCTTTGAAAATATAATCTTCAATGAAGTCCAATAGTATTATATGGTCTCTGCAACAATCCCCTAAATAATTGGTTTAAATCAACCAGACATATAGCAGTATTTATGTGAATATGTAAGACAAAAGGTACACTGATCACCTACTTGCATTAGGTCTTCCATTACCATGCCTTCTGTGTGAAAGCCTTCTCTTGACCTGACGCCAATGATGGTACTTTATAACATGAAGAATTCCCCATACTCGTCCTGGATGAGTATGATGGCTACTATTAGCATTTCCACTAGACAATAAACACTCTTTCTCATGAATTCTCTTCCCCATAGCTAGCCAGATTAAGTGTGATGATTGGTTTAGGTGATCAAGTGACCCAACCAGTTTATGATCATTCAAGCTTAAGAACCCTGATCCATGTCACAAACAAAAATTTCAATACCTAACCTGATAAACAAGTAGTTCTAGAGGTTTAGTATCATCAATTTGCACAAATTATTACACAGGAGAATTTTGTATCATCTGGCTAGATAAAAATTTAGTTTCAGGTATAACAACAGTAAGACCACAAAATTGATTTTGATTGGGTTATTACGTAATAATGTAATCTAAAAGAATTACAAATGAATAATTTAGCGTTCAATATATGTTTAAAAAAAAATAACAAGAGGGAAGAACTAACCTCATCCAAAATATGCAGACATTTTCTCTCATGTTTTCAGAGAAATGTAACAAATTTCCAAGAAAATTCTTGAGATCAGAGAATTTCTGGATCGCTGAGGAGAAAGAAGAGGATCAATCAGAAAATTCAATTTCACATCTGTATTGCAATTTTTTTACATATCATCACCATTAACCTTTGTGTTTTAATCCCTTGTATTAGCAATTTACACATTTATGTGTCTATGATCACAGAACAACCTTACCTCAAGACATCCATAACCAGGACCGAAAATCTTGGGTTGTAAAAGGATGAATTTGCATTGATATGAAAAAGAAAGTGACATATATAAAACAAAATGTTAATTCTGTAATTCTAACCATGACACGTGACAGATAAGATAAGTGGTGTAAAATTCATCTTAAAAAGGTAAAAAAATTAAATAAATAAAAATGAAAGAGTGTAATTTTAAAAACAAATGTTGGTGAAACTCTGACAGAGAAGAAATAGAGGGAGATTAATTAAAGACAGCCAAAAGAAACATTCACTTCTTAAATTTCACCATTATTTTCCTTTTTATTTTTGCAATTTGATATTTAAAACTTAAATTCAGTGTTGTTTATGCTCATAATTGCATATTTACCTTATAGGAAAATATTTTTTGAAAATAAATAAATATTCATAGTTGTAAGATTGAATATTAATTACTTTATTTGTTACTAATTGATTATTTTTTACACTTTTTTTCAAACATTTTTAGAAGAAAATAATTAGTTTACTTATATACTCGGTGTGATATTCACGCTTTCAATTAATTTATTTAAAAATTAAGAATATAATTTAATATATAAGATTAACATCTTTTCATTAATTCATTAATACTTTATTTAAAATTATGATATTGTGTGCATTTTTTAAGGTTAACAATATTAATTGCCAAATTTCAATAAGTTTATAATTAAAAATAAAACAGAGAAATTATTTTTTTTATAGGTATTGCTTATACAAGCAAAATTTTTACACAAACAATGTTATAAGACAAAATTATGAAGGGAATATTTTAATACGAATCAATTACATAATATACAAAATTAAGTTAAAACTCGCTTTAATAACTTCAGCGTTTGGGTTAATTTTTATATAAAATGATTAAAACTATACGACATTGTAAAAACTTATTACAAAATTAAAATAAAAAAAAACATTTAGATAAGAATGCAATCTACATCTTCTGATTATACAATATATGTGATTAATATTAATTATTACTTATTTCCAATTATTTTTATTTAAAAAATATTATTATTCTATCTGATTTTATTTGTTATAGTAATATTATTATATCATAATTTTAATCTATCGTAATTCTATTCTTAAAATTATTCTTAAAAGACGTTAAAAGATAAAAATATATATAATGAATCTAAATTAAAATAATTATATTATTATTATTATTTTTTCTTCGAAATTTTGTTTTCACATACACTGTTTCAAGTTTATAGATGTATATTTTATAAATAACTCATTAACTCATAAATATTACTATTTTGTTATCTTGTTGGTACGAAACATTCACTAATTTACTAATAATGATTTTTGTAGAAAACATGATTAATCAGTTTTAATAAAAAAATATCCTTATAAATTAAATTTATTTCCTTTACATGATTCGAATTGAAGATACTTTTTAAATATTTAAATCCAATTTCATTTATAAATAAATATTAATTTACTATTTATATTTATATACATTGAAATAAGTTTTCCTTCCTAAAATATTACTTGTGTCCTTTATTAAATTAAATTCAAACTTCCTCAATATATAATCATGATAACTCACATTATATTAATTTTGTTCAGTTAAACTTTATATTTATTAATCTCATTAAATAAACTATATGGAATTGAAGTTAAATCACTTTATTAATAGAAAAAGTTTATAATATATATATATATATATATATATATATATATATATATATATATATATATATATATATTGTTCTCTTTTAACCAAAAAAACTTTTAAAAGGCTTTAAAAAGATATCATATTTTAAAATGAAAAAAAATTAAATATTTATATATTTCTTTAAACGTGTACGTTATTTTAAAATCTATTATTATCCATTTTATCTATTCACATAATTGTTAACATACAATTTAATTTTATTGCATTAATATTTATTTTAATTTTTATTTCTTTAATATATATATATACATAAGAATAAATTTAAAAAATAACATATATAAAATTTTAAATAATCTACAATATTTAATTTAAAATAACAATTAAGGCGGTACAACTTATTATTCGTGTAAATAATAATTCAAAGAATTTTTTATTTTTTTTTATAAGTTAAGATTAACTTATATACAAATTAAAAAATTATAGGAAAAAATAATAATCTATGTAATTTTTTTATCTTCTAAAAGTTGTTACTATTCAAACATATCTAAAACTTTTAAGATGTAAAAAAAAAAAAAAAAAAAAAAAAAAAACCCAAATTATTGCACGAATGCATTATAGAAGCTTGAAGAAAGTTGAAAGTCTTAGTTTTGCAAGATGAATGAAGCATGGCTTGTTCGTTTCTGGACTGAGTGCAGATCAGCCCCAAATTATGGGCTGGGAAATCTCAATTTGGGCTTTCTTATTCTCAGATATATTTTGCTGTTGCTTCCTGCACCCATAATTTCTCCCAACATCCTATAATTAAATTAAACCTTATTTTATCCTTTAACTTATTTTCATCTTCTATCAGTGTTTATTTCTAATTTTGTTCAATGGCTAATTTTTATCCCTAGTACAACATTTTCATTCTTTCCTCTTTTATTCTTCCAAAAATTATAAGAAACATGTAAGAATGTTCAACTTTTTTTATTTTCTATTAAATGTTTACATGTACCTGGAAACTAATTGTAAGGAGTGAGAAAATTGGGATTGTTTTTTAAAAAAACATGTTATAGAGAGTGTTTTATAGAATTGATTTTCTGATAATACATTATGCAAGGTGCGTTCCAGAATATATTCATGAAATTAATTTTTTAGAAATGTATTTTGGATCCATCTTTTCGGAATTGATTTCCAAAAATACATCTCACGCTCTATAATGGGTATTCCGAATTCAACTTTATTTTCACAATACTATTTCATATTAAACAATTTGACTCAGTTAGTACAATTTGAGTGCAAGAATATATAATTCATATACAATATTAACAATTACTTATCTTTAATTATTAAAAAATGTCTTTAATGAAGGTAATAACACAACAAAATTAAATAGTAAAGGGATGAAGGTAATGATGAATAGAAGTCCAGAAATTATACACAAATAGAAGAAGAATTTAGACTAAAAAATAAAATTATGAGAAAGATATTTTAAATATTTTTGACTTAGAATATAAAGGTGTATGAAAAAAATTATGAGGTACAGGAAACAATAGCCAATACATTTTAATTAAGTTCAATATGTTGATTAGTTTAATTTTAAAAATAAAAAACTTATAATATAAATCAAACTAATTATGATATAAATTGTTTCTAAAATCAATTAATTATGATTTTCCATTTTAAATATTAACTTAATTATGATAAGAGTAACCTTTTTAATTGAAGTAATCAAATTGCTTTTAAAAACTTAATATCCGTAATTAATTTAGTTCAATTAAAAAATAATTTGCATTTTAAAGAATTTGATTACTATTAAAAGCCAACTTTAAAAAAATAAATTGTACATAAAATAAAAGGTTTATTTTGGTCTGCAAATAGTTTTCAAGGTTTTGTTTTCAATCTCTAATAAAAAATTGATAATTTTTTTATGTATTTACCTTTTTTTATTAACATTTTAGTGCTTGACAAACACATCAATTTCATACTAGATTAGGTTATAAGTATAGTCCACCTTACGTGAACACATATTTATTTATTTATTTAAAAGTTTCCTCTATTATTGCTTAAAATTCAAATAAGAATATTTTATTGTTAGCCTCCGCACATGATATTTATTTATTTTATACATATAATTATATGTATTTGGTAAGAGTCAAACTAATCTAAAAATAAAATCATAATCCGATAAAAAAAAATTAAAATTGATCAATTTTTTTTTGCATTGAAATTTGTTAAAATCAATCAAATTAAACAAAACTAAAATTATAATATTTATCATTAAAATTAAAAAGTGATTAATTTTTTATAATATAAAACATGCATTGTTAATTTTTAATTGAATATAAAAATATATAAAAGCAAACATATGTATATTTATAAAATATAATTTTTATTAAATAATCATTTTATTATAATATATTTAATAAATTTATAACAAAAATAGTTCAAATAAAATAAAAAATCGTAAAATATTATTTAATTTAGTTTAAATTTTTTAATAAATATTACTCTAATTTTTATTATAAATATAATTAATTTATTCTTATTTAGAGTGTCATGTTTACTATAATATTAGTAGGTCAATTTTTATATGTGAAATATTATTATCTTATTTAAAATGATCATATGATAATATAAAAATATATATATATATATATATATAAATTATCAGTTCGAATTTTAATAATGAGTATAAGTGAAAAAAATTTCATACATCTATATATATTAGAATATGAAGTAGGTATATCTAGATGAAGTTAATGTGACCAATCAATCATTCAAAAATTATTTTTTTTCAAACGTATAGTCGTGATGAATTGTGTGATAAATTACTTAAATTTGATTTCGTATAAGCGATAATATTCAATAATAATGCTTCTTGATTTTGATACATAAAGAATAACTATTTTAATTATTCGAAGAATCTATAGTTGAAAAGAATAGGTCTTTTTTAATTAAACATTTTATCAGTTAAATGTAATCATTTCACCAATTTTATTGAATTGATTCTATTTTATATATTTTATTTCCATGAAAACTATTTTATTTTGCAAAATCATGTTATTTTAATTGTTTTCTTAGGTTTTCATGACAAGTCAGCAAGCGTGTTAGACATTGAACAAATATATTATAAAATTAGTACTGTGAAAATATAATTGTGTTTAGTATAAAGAAGACCAAACCTTAAATTTTGCGTCAAAGCAAGAAATGATTTTTATTCATAAAAGAAGAGAAGAAATCCACGTTACGATATAAAACATTGAAAGTTTTTTGGTTTGATCCATTCAAATGAATGTGGTCCACCAAGTTTTGGTTAAGATAAGTTGCTTCGGCTTCAGTTCATAGCATATTGACTAAAGCACATAAAACAAAGCATCTAAAAGATAAACAAAGCCACCAAAAATTAAATAGTATTGAATAAAGGACACCCACATGCCCAAAACTTAGAACACTCACTCATAGATGCATGAAATTCTATAATATGCCAACCCTAGTGCATACAAACCAATGCAAATTAAAAAAAAAAAAAAAAAAAACCCTTTTTTTAGTTGGTTTGTATTAGGGGTTCTAACTCAATGCTAGACTACTTGGGTAAAAACTAGTAATTACATTGAAATATATGTTTTTTTTTCTTGTTGGTTACTTTTAATAGAGTTTTTTTTTTTCTATTCACAAAACTCAAATTCAAAAATTTGTCTAAGAAAACTAAATTCAATATTTTTATACCAACATGTTAGTAAAATACATATTTTTGAAGATTAGAATTTGTATCCTAGTGAATAACAGCTTGTATTCATGATAAAAATGTAGCAATTTGATGATAGCAACAGAGTTTTAAAATTCAAATGCAAAGATCCTGCAGAAAAATTGATATCAAAACAGTAGCTTTCAACAAATATCTTAAAATGTTAAAAGTGGTCCCTTTCAATCACAGAAGAACTAAAATATGTTAAAATGCAAAATGTTCACCAATCAGTTTCATGAAACTTGCAGCATGTTAAATGAACAACTCAAATATTTATTATCTATCCTTCCCTTCACCATATAACCTCCATGATAGATATACACATTCCACGGTAATTCTCAACTGTACAATAATACAGTGACTATATATAACATATATACTGAATTCCAAAAGAAATACAGAGACGTGGAATTAATAATAAAGAATGTTGTAAGGTAAAACAGTTAAGTCTAGTGCCACAATGGAGTGAAAGAATGTACAAGAATCATCTCCTATTTTCTCTTGTGGAAAGGAAAAATGAGCAGAAAAAATTTTCATGTTCAGTTAACAAAATGTCAAGAGATGTTGTTGCATACTTTCTTCACAAGCCATCTTTGGTAGGAAGATCATGGTATGTTTGAGTGAGTGTCAAGTTTCCTTCTTTCTCGTTGGACTCAATAAGCATCCTCACAACTTCCCTCATTGATGGCCTCTTTGTAGGAGACACACTTGTGCATGCTAAAGCAAGTTTCAAAACAGTGAGCATGTGATTCACCGTGATTTGGTCTTCAAGATCTACACGAGTATCGAGTATCTCCGGTGTCAACGAATTGTTGTGTTCCCGGATATGGTTTCTCACCCATGTGACAAGATCTCCTCCTTGCTCTAGTGGTTGAACTGGTGTTCTTCCAGTGAGCAATTCCAAGAGCACAACACCATAACTGTAGATGTCACACTTTTCAGTGACCTTCATGGTATATGCATATTCTGCCACACATTAGTCAAAGTTTTTCAATAAATTGAAAAACAAAACAAAACGAAATGTGAGACATTAAGAAGCTCAAGTGCTGGTAATATGCCAAATAAACATTAATAAAATATGTGGTATAAGATTCTTTAGTAAAACATTTAACCATGAGAAAAAATTTGGGGTCATCCTAGAAATGAGGATGAAAAAGTTTCAAGGATGAGAATACTTAGTATGCTGATAAGGTCAATATCAGATAGTCTCTATTAAAATCATCAAAATCCATAGTCAGAAAAAGTAATTTGAAACTGATTAATGTCCAAAATTCATTTTCTTCAATAAGGAAATTAAAAATGTAAATGTTGTTTATGAGCATGGAGTGAAACCTCAAATCATAATAAACTACAAGCCAGTACTCACAATAATATGATCTGCCTAGATAAACCAGACTATCTATGTCAAAAGATGATACAAAATGATGTTTATAGTATATTGACTAACTACAACAAAGTAGGAGCTCACCAGGAGCAATATAGCCATAAGATCCAGCAACAGCAGACATTGATTTTGACTGGGGCATGTCAATCACTTTTGCCAAACCAAAATCTCCAACATGAGCCTCAAAATTTTCATCCAGAAGAATGTTGTTAGATTTTATATCGCGGTGGATAATCTTTGGTTTGCAGTCGTGATGCAAGTAGGCAAGACCCTCAGCAGCTCCAAGAGCAATCATGAACCGAGTTGACCACTCCAAACTAGATACAGAACCATGCAATAGTTCACCTAAGCTACCTCTTTCCATGTACTCATATAGCAGGAGATTGAAACCCTGTTGGTAGCAAAAGCCATACAGTTTCACTATGTTCCGATGCCTTATCCTTCCCAGAGTTGATATTTCAGCTCTGAAGCTATTCTCAATGTTGTTCCCTTCCCTGTTTGATGCTAACTTCTTAACAGCAATGGTCTTACCAGATTTCATCACTGCCTTATAAACGGTTCCACATGCTCCCTTACCAATAACATAGCTTTCATGAAATCTTTTTGTAGCTTCAACTAGATCATGGAATGTGAAACCTTCCTTTGGAGGGAAATAGATATCTGAATCAGGGGAGGGAGCCTCGGCACCTCCAAAGGAATCCATTAACTTCCGAGGACGTTTCAAAAAATATAAAATAACTGAAATGAAAATGAGTGAAACACCTCCAACAGAAGCTGCAATTATCATGACTATTTTAGCGCGAGTAGAATCAAAACTTTTCCCTGAATTATCAGAGTGAGAATCCGAAGTGGTGCTGCAGTCACCAAGAGGTGCACCACAGAGGCCATTGTTACCACCAATATAGCTGCTTACAGCCATGCTTTGGAAAATTTTAGTGGATGGAATAGGTCCAGACAGGTTATTGTATGAGAAATTGCACCCCAACAAGCTTGAAAGCTCTTCAAATGTGCTGGGAATTTCACCATCCAAATCGTTGTTATTGAGATAGAGATATTCAAGCATGTTGAGATTGCCAAGCTGAACCGGTATTCTTCCGGAAAGGTTATTGTAACTGAGATCCATTGCAATTTGCAAGCTTGAAAGAGAACCTAAATGAGGAGGTATTTCGCCAAAAAAGTAGTTTCCATCCATCAACAACCAGTTCAAATGAGACAGATTGCCTAATGACGCAGGGATATATCCAGACAGCTTATTGTCTGAGAGCTTGAGAATCTCCAAGTGCTGAAGTGTTCCAATCTCATCCGGCAAGGAACCAGAAAAGTTATTCTGGCTGAGATCAAGCCGCTGTAGCCTTTGACATGAGAAAATTTCGGGTGGGATACTTCCAGTGAAAAGATTTGACGAAACATTAAATGTCACCAATTGAGAGAGAGTACCTATTTCCTTAGGCAACTCCAATGTGAAGTAATTGTTGGCAATATGAAGCCTTTGCAATATGCGGCAGTTCCCAATATCAGCAGGGAGTGTACCACTAAACCTGTTTTCACTCAAATCAATGGCAGTCATGTTCATCAGCTTACACAATTCTAAAGGGAAGCTTCCAGTAAGCCTGTTTCCAAGTATGAACAACTGTTCCAATGATTCACAGTTTAGTATACCTGTTGGTATATTTCCATAAAGCTGATTAGAAGCAAGATTCAACAACATCAAGTGGGAATTTCGGCATAGATGAGGAGGTATTCGTCCGGTCAAGTTGTTGTCAGAAAAATCAACCACCCAAAGAGGACTATGAAACCCAAGTCCCTCAGGAATAATCCCACTCAGAGAGTTGTCAAAAAGTTGCAACTGGTTCATTTTAGGAAAATATTGGAAGCCAAATGGAATTGGACCTGTGAGATTATTTATTGACAGGTCCAGCTTTGACAGGTTCTTCAAGTTGCTAAACTCATTTGGTATAACACCAGTTAGATGGTTCTCAAAGAGAAAAAGCAAACTTAGACCATTTATTTTGCCAAAATCTGAAGGGATACTACCTACTAAAGAGTTCTCTGAGAAATCAATGTCTAAACATGAAGTAAGATTTCCAATTTCCCTTGGAATGGTTCCATTCAACTTGTTTCTGTAAGCATACAGCCACCTCAAGGATTTGAGGTTCCCAATTTCCTTGGGTAAAGGTCCAATAAGATAATTCCCATATATAGCAACGTTCTCAAGACTGCTACAATTCCCAATCTCTTTAGGAAGAGGTCCTGATAACTGGTTTCCCCACAAAACCAATTCTTTCAGGTTGGCAAGCATCCCAATCTCACTTGGTATTTCCCCTCCTATCTGATTTTGTGCAAGCCCGAGACGCATTAATCTCTTACATCGACCAATTTCTTTTGGCAAATTACCAGTAATGTTATTTGCCCCAGCTCTGAAATTCACGAGATTCTTAAGATTTCCAATGGAATTAGGCAGGGGTCCCACAAGAAAGTTGCTATACGCCACTAGCTCCTCCAACGAAGACAAGTTCCCAATCTCATCTGGAATCACACCAGAGAGTTTGTTGTTGTAAATATTCAAACCTTTCAAAACAGACAGCTTACCCAGTTCAGCAGGAATTGTCCCCTCAAACTGATTATTGTTCATATAAAGATATTCCAAATTCAAGATCTCACCAATCTCCTTCGGGATATTTCCAGTCAACTCATTGTAGGCAAGATTAAGATAAGTTAGATGGGTCAGACCCCCAATGCCAGCAGCATTTAGAGTTCCAGAAAGATCCATTGAACTCAAATTAAGAGACGCAACCACTGGGTTGTTATCATTATCCTGAGTGCAATTTACACCTTTCCATCCACATGGGGTTTCATCAGTAGGCTTCCAATTTTCCAAAACATTAGATTTGTCATGAAGTCCATTCTTAAGCTCTAGCAAGATTTTTCCCTCAGTGTTCAACCCCTCAGTGCTACAAAGAAGTAAAGTCAATATCAGTAAAATAAAAGAATACTCTTTTGCCAAGGCTCTCCCCTCCTTGATATCTCCAGCCATCTTACTATTCAAGACCTGCACAGGCAAGCCATATCAATCAATCACTTTCACAACATAGACACATATTTTCTGTCCATTACCTCAGATCAGGCAATCGACTATTGATCAGTAAGTAATCAATTGAGCACAATTTTAAAAAGGCTATTCTGTTCACAAATGCAACAGACCAAAATATTTGTGGAAATTCTTGCTGCCATTGAACCATTTTTCTAAGCCAGAAACTCTTTCGTTACTCTGATTATCACCAACACCTAAAGTCATATTCCACAATACCAAAACACCATTCCCAGGTTCAAAGGCGAAACAAAGACACACATGTATATTACACAGAAAGCACCAGTCAAAATGATCAAAAACAATAACACATCAACAAAAACACACCTTTCATTCAAAGACAGCCATCACTCATCAAAAAGGAGATAATAACAAAAGCAGCAGCTCCACCACTTGGGATCAACAACTCCTTGCGAAGGAAAATGGAGAAGAACCATGAAGAAGTTGATGAAACTTTAGCCAAAAATAGAATACACCCACGTGTGCTTTTGGCCTGAAAAGTGGGGATCTTCGATCTGAAAGAGAAAAGGCCAAGATTTTGAGGAGAAAAATCCAAAACCTTTTTTGTTTGCAGGGACTGAGAAAGAAGCAAGACTCAAGGTTCAATGAATCAGTGAATGAATATCCATCCTCCTGGGGTGGCACTATTTGTGGCTTTCTCTGTTGGGTGGGGTTTGGCCGATTAGGCTTGTCCCCAGTGTTTTAGACGCCCTGTGCCTTTTATTAAAATTTTAGACTTTGATTTTCATTCTATTAATATATTTTAACTTGTTTCATGGTATAGATTGTTGATTAAATAAAAAAAATAATTTAATATTAAAAATGAATTGAAATGATTGTTCAAAAATTAATTAAAAACAACTTTGTTTCAAAACACTGGAGACAATTTGGCATAAGGGAATGAAAATGAAAGAATGAGTGTGAAGGATCAACTTTTTTTTGGTGAAGTTTTAATGGCCGACAAAGCATGCTTTCACCTTTCACTTATTAGGATCATTTTCATTGTCTCTCTAACACCAAAAGGTCTTTCTTTCTTGTTCATATTGTTAATGTTTGATGATACCCTTTTCAAGAAGAAAGTTTGGTGGAAATTTTTGCAAAATTTTGGTAGTTCTGTGTTTGTTTTCTTTGTTTTTTGGTTAGTGATTGTGATGGGTATGGGAAAGTTCCTTCCTGGTTTAGTAGGTGCTGAAATCCATGTTGTTGGACTTGTACTCAAATACTCCATGTTTTATACGTCTCAGATTTTCAACCAATCATTCTCTGCTACGTGTCCACTCGGTAAATCTTCTGACTCACTATATCTATTTAAGGTTGTTCTAATATCTATCCCTTGTTGGATCTTGTGCAGAGAACATCAGAAAATGAAAGTTTTTTTGTTAAGATAGAAAAAATATGTTAGAGAAAATGAGAGTTATTATTAATTTCCAAAATGGAGTGAAAGAGAATAAGGCTACCAAATTATTGGTTTAGTTTTATCTAGTTCTTGTCTTTTACTCTAACAAACCATTTTATTTTCTTTTGTGATGATCTTAATTAAGTTTTAAACTATGCCAATATCTATACTTAGATGCATGAGTAAAAACATGCTTAAAGCTTCTAATATAGAAATTAAATATAATATAATAATGAAATTTATATATATAAATGAGATAATTATGAGAACTTTATTAGCTTAATCAAATAAATGACAACTATGAACAATTTTATTTTTTTCACTTCCAATTCTTTATTTTTAACCTGCATATAAACTTTGGTATTATAGACAACAAGATTTAAACATTAGTCATTATGCACCAATGGAAAAAGTTCTATTACTTTAAAATTGTTATTATCAAATTAAAATTCACTCTTTAAAGTTCATATATACGAAAAACATGTGTAAAAATATGACGTTACAATCATTACTTTTGTGTGTTTCAATAATACATTTTTATTGTGATTTTTGTTAATTTTTTATTTTATAATTCATACGAAAAATGTTTCCTATCCAACATTAGAAACTAATTTCTCTAAAAATAAAGATCATTAGAAACTAATTTCTCTAATAATTTGTTTATACTAAATTGAATTCCTAATCATATAATTAAAATTTCAATTATTTATTAAATGCTAATATTTTGCTTATACCATTTTATGTGAAGCATCTACCAACTTTATTCTACAATACTTAAAAGTCTATTCTCATTAAAAAAAATTGATTAACATTTGTCCTTTTATTCACGGGTTCATTATTTTATTTAAAATTCAGCTTTAAAATAATTTTAATTTCAATTATATTAAAAGTGACTGATGTTAACATATCTAATAAAGTAATATATTTATTCAAAAAAAAATTAGTTCAGTAAGTTTGTTTTAAAAGAATATTTTTATTTTTATTATTAATATTAATATCTATAAGAATTCTTTTTATAAAAAAATTTTAATCACGACAGAAGAAAAAAAATATAATCGATATCTATATTATGTATTTTTTTTCTAGATTTATTTTTTTCTCGAATATAAAACAATAAATAAAAATAATTAAAAATATTATTTACTTTTTTTCAATTATAATTTTTTTAGTTTTCTCTTCTATTATAATTGAGTCTGGCGTTTATTTATTTTTAAGCATTCATAATTTCACAAAATATATATATATATATATATATATATTAATTTTTTAATAAATTAAAATAATCCACCTATGTTTCCGATTCGTTTAATAACCTTAAACTACATCCATCAAACAGAAGTAGTATAATAATTACATTCATCTATTTAATAATTTTTTTATATTATTATTATTATTATAGATATTATTAACTAAAAAAATCTTCATAAAGAATATTTGGTAGGACCATGTTGAATAATTTTTTTTGTTTTAATGATCACCAAATTTTTTTAACAAATTATCTAATTTAGTTTGAATGGTAGGAGTATAATATTGATAAATGTGCCGACCCTTAATTTGTATAATTACTACTTTAACACAATGGTGAGTGTAAGTGATAAAAATAATGTTATGTTATGTAACTAAATGACTACTTCTGATGGGGTTGGTTTGCCAAAGCCAGTTTCCATCAAAATTCTTTATGTCTCCATCGAAGGACCCAAACATATCGTGGGTTTTCCTTCTCACTTCCCATCATGCAATCTTGAAAAGGTTGACCCTTTGGTCCCACAAAGAGCCACTCCGCAAGCAATTGGAGCACATGCGAGGGCATCACTTTCTAATAACTTTATTATTCTCTGTGTGAATGTGTGTGTGTGTGTGTGCGCGCTTCATAGGATGAATATGTGCACTTCAATTGTGCATTCTTCTTTGGGGTTAGGCTTGATTCCACTTAAGAATATCACTTTGCTTAATTGGGTACATCCCATTCCTCAATGTTTCTTTGTCCTTTTGAAATTCTATTTCAACACCAAAAACTTTAACACATCTTTTCTATCTTCTTTTTCCTACCATTGGTTAGATAATGATTCTAGCTGCTATATTTTAAAATAAATTATACGATCAAGTTATCGAAAACTCATTTTATAAAAGTATCATGCGATTTGCATCAACATTTATATTGAATTTTATTTCAACCAATATATAATTTATGCTTATCATAATTATTTTATTTTATTTTTCAATTTTTGTTGAAATTATAAGTTAAAATCTCGTATTTAAAAAAAATTAAAAAATTGATCAATAGATAGGTGGAAAATAAAAATTCTAAATCTAATATTTTAGGGTTTGTTTTATTTAGGAGCGAAAATATCTCAATCTCATATTCACTATGATAATATTGTCAGGATTAATTATCATGTTTGAGATATGAAAGTAATGAGAGGAGATTGATAGAAATGTCCTTACATTCTCAAAAGATGATTTTGATGATGATTCAAGTCAACTACATTCAAGTCAACACTATTCAAAATGAATTAAGGACAAGTTGAATTTATGACGTTGGTAAAAATGTGAAACATTTTCCTACATGCCCAATATAAGTTTTTGATAAAGATAATGATTCAAGCAAGCCCAAGATGATTCCGAAAACTAGATAGAGTCTTAGAATACTTGGATATGGAGGTACAAGGTGATGAAGTAATATTATGCATAAGCCTCCAAAGTACAAGTGTGATAAAATTCATAACGCGATATTTTTCATTCGACATAATCAATTATGATAACATTGTTAAAGTTAATTATTATTTGCTTTGAAATTTAATTTTATCCTTAAAATATGTCTCGATATATTAGGAGAATAAAATATATATAAATTATCATTAATATTAATCGTTAAACGATTCATCACTCATGATTATACATAATAATTAAACCTAATATTTTAAGGATTTATATATATAATTAACTCTTAATCTTATAGATGAATTTTTCTCAATTATTGTCCTTCTAAATTACTTAATTATTTTTACTAACATCGAGACCATGTAAAATTAAAATTAACCAATGCCTCAGTGTGTTACTATTAAAAGATGCATCTCTTTTTCTAGAATATATAAAGGATTAGAATGTGTTGGTGAAAGAATACCCCACAATTGTTAAACAAGAACTATGAATGGTGACATTAAATAATGCTCCAACCTAGTGGAAATATACAAGGTTTTATAATGCTAAAAGTGCATATTATTTTGATGTTGTTCAATGATTCATGACTAAAGAAAAGTTCAAGTTGTGTTTTTGAATAATTAACCTAATTGGGGGTTGGGTTAGTGATGAAGGAGGCTTGTGTCCTGTTTAACCTTTATTACCCTAATTAATATGCATATGTTAATTAGTGGAGATTTGTTATAGTACTTTTAGTAATTTGTTGATCAAGCATTTTTTTGTCACTTTTGTTCACACAAACTCATAATATAATGTGTAATCGTACCACTTTATGATTAAATAACATTTTTCATTTTGTTTTTGTATATCCCTCATCACCCATTCATTATATCTTTTTTTTTTTTTCTAATCCCTGTTTTTCAATTAGCTCAGGTATCTAACTATTTGCTTTTTGGAGAATTTTGCTATAAAGTGTCACGTAATAAAAGTGATAATTAAAATTAAGTTTCACATCCATTTGTACATTAAAAATATAATTTCTAAAATATAAGATTTTTCATTAAATTGATTATTTTCGCACTATGTGGTGTACCCATTACATTACACTAAGCAAGGTTTGTCTCATTTGATCTAAATATTAATCAATGATTTTATTTTATTTGTTTAAAAAAGATTTAATTATTAGATGACGTCATGGTCGTACATGTTGCAAATTGTAATACTGAAATTCAACGTGCAAACCTGTCGAATGGTTAAGTCCAAAATCACTCACAAGTCATGATAATGCATATACGGGACAAAAATCAAGCCTTTAAACTTTGAATCAAGTTGAGATTAAGATTTCAAATTTCAAAATATTAGTTTTATTCTATCAATCTTATTGGCTTAAAATCGAACAATGGGTTTAAGATCTTAATTTTTTATTTATTTTAAACATATCAGATGCTTAATCATATACAAACATGATTGAGTATCTCTTAAAATACCACTTAATTTTATAAAACACGTGAATCAAATACCTGATGATGTTAAGATAAAAGCACAATTTTTAGTTTACAGATTTATGTTTACAATTCATTAATGATTAAAAATATATTTAATTTATTTAATATTTATAAAATTTATATAATACCAATTAAATAAAAGAATCATTATTAACTTTTTTTTCATCCACTCCTAATAAATTATTATTTTTAAAATATCATTATTTAGTTAAAAATAAGAATATTTTAACTTGAAATAAGTATTTGAGGTATTCATATTTTATTTAAAAACGAAAATATTTTGAGTTCGTATTTAATATTAAATTTTAGTCTATTAATTTTATTCTTAAATAATATTTTGTAGATCATAAAAGAAAATTTTTATATAATCTCAACCTCTAAATAATACGATACTTATAAGTGTATATAAAAAATAATCCTTCAATAAAAAAATTAAAATATTTTTATCCCTTCAATCAATATCAATATTTTTTATAAAAATAAAAATTCCATCTTCAAATATTATAATAACATCATTAATTTATAAGAAGAATGTGAATTCCTCTTTTAATTAAAGCAAAATACATTTTATAACATTCAAATCATATTTAAAAGTAATGTTAATTTGTATATTTTTAAAAACAACGACTTTGATCATGATATTCTTTTAATATTGAGTTTCTTCAAATAAGTATAAAACGAACGTAAGAATTTCATAATAAAATTTGAAATAATGAAGATTATTTCCCCCAAATTTTCTACTTGTTAACAGTGTACTATTTACCTATTTTAATGGAATATCCATTTGACCAAAATAATAAATTATTAAAAGTCGGTGCATATTTAATTATATAATGGAAATTATTCACGTAAATTACGAACGTTTGAATCCAACTTTGACGAACATGATCATCCAATTGGTCTTTAAAATTAACAGCTTAAGAAAAAAAAAAAAGTTCAAAGTTTGACTAGCCACAGTCAGCAATATGCTACATAAGATATTATAATTATACATATAATATTTTATTTTAGATCTAATCTTAGATCAAAATTGAAGAAAATAAAATATTCATCATGTATGAGATTTTCTCAAAATACCTCCAAGAAACTAAATGAACAGAGTAAAAGACAGATACAGCTTCGAGTTTTTTACGATTATAACCATCTTGTGTTTTTTAATTGTATTTATAGATTAAAAAAATAACAGTTGTTGAATTATAACAACATAATCTAATTAATATAATTTTTTCACTAATAAAGTTAAAATTTAACTTTTTTTTCTTTATTCCTCTTTGGACAAAGAATTACCTTTATTTGTAGGTCAAAAATATTATTTACCCGGTCCAACAGAACTTAATTCATGAGATTTATTAGAAGACTATTGTTTCCATAGCAAAAGATATTGAAAATAATTAGACTTTGATGTTATAAGATTGGTTAAAAAAACTTTGAACACAATAATGAAAAGAAAAAACTTTTAAACACAATCTTTTTATTCTGGACAACATAATTAATTATGATAATGACAACATTTAAACTAATAATCATAGTTGTACGTTATTTATTTTAAATTATTCACTATTTCAATATTATATCAAATATTCTCTCAATATTAATTCATAATACATCTTTTCATAACAAAAATAATAATAACAATAAAAATGAAAGAGAAGTTACATAAACGAAGAGAATAAGAAAAGAGGCGTGAGAACACATAGATAAACTTAAAAGGAGGACGAATATTGAATCTGAAAAGTCTACTTCTTCTTACACCCAAGAATTTCTTCTACACCCCCGCATTAATATATGTAAAATGTCAAAAAGTCTTTAAAGTCAGTTTTCCTCTTTCATGTGTACCAACAACGCATACACCTCCTACACTCTCGTTCAAACGTCATTTTCCGTTTAAAGTTTGAAATTTGTTAATAATTTATGTTTTGAATTATATGACATGTTATGCATCTAAAATCTCATTAAAAAAAAAATATTTACTATTTATTTTACATTTGTAGTATTTTGAATTATTGAATCTAAAATACATTTACGAAAAAGACAATTCAAATAACTTTTAAATAATCCAAAACATATTTTCAAATTATATATTTTTAAAAATATATTCCAAATTGTTGAATACAACATACATTTATAAAAAAAAAAACAATAACACAATCCAAAATTTATTTTCGAATATTTCCAAAAATGTATTAGAATTTTTTTTTAAATATTTTGGAATCAATTTTTCAAGGCATCACTGATATTAATGATCTCTAGTTCAAGGACAAGGTACAGATCTGCATTGTAATAACCATTTCTCAACACAATATAAAAAGGATCAATCATGTAGAGCCATTGCAAGTTATAAGCAAAAAGAAACTATCCATGTATGCAAATTGTAACCAAGGAAGAAAGACAATGAAACACAACAATTACACATGTTGCCACCAATTAGTCAAGGCTTGATGATTCAATGTTGCATACATCTTGACCCCTTAGAAAGAAGATCAAATAATAAAGAAATACCTGCTTTTACATCTAAGATAAGACAACATTTTATCTTTCTTTCTTCAAATACATGAATAATGTCATCACTCCTTGAATGGTGCCATAACTCCTCAACAATCAACTGCACCACTATTGTCTTAACAATTTAGAATTAGTTCAGATGAGAATAGTAGCTTCTGTGTGGAAAAGGGACCACAATCATCATTCCACTAACTTACCTTCTCCTAATCCTCAATCACACTGCATGTTACAACCTTAAAAAATAGCCAAATCAAATTAACCAAATTGGCTCCTTGCTTTCTGCATAACAAATACATAAGCAATTTAAGACCTCCCTAACTTCATTTTTCAATCTAGAACTTTGACTGCCCTGTCTAAAACCAACCCATAGCAAAAATGATCGAAAAATTAAATTAGAATAAATCAAAATCGAAGAGAAAATCAAATCTCTAAGTCCTAGCTTACTGAATGCTAAAAGCGCTGGTCGCTACCACTTTGCATTCTATCCCATTCCCATTTGCTTCTGCCTTCTCATCTCTATTATCTTCCTGTGCGAATTAGAATGCAAATCAATGCGAAAAGTTGGACTACTAGCAGGACGGTATTCAGGCACGAGCCGGCCAGACTTAAACCTAACCCCACATGCATTACAAAGTGTCTTTGGCCCAAGGGGACCTGCCCGCCATTGTGGAGTATCTTCAGCTCCACAGTGCTGACATTTCCTCCCAATGGGTGAGATTTTCATCCCTTCTTCTGCCTTGAAAATTTCATTTCTTGGCTGCCTCCACCAAACTTGATGACTAGAGTTTTTGTCAGCAATGCCAGGTTGACGCCTACTGCATCTCTTGCTCCGTGCACGGACTGGGACCTTAAGGTGATCACAGCTGTTTAGGAGGGAAATACTGTTACTGCTGTTATTGCTGTTGCTACTGCCTGTGCTGTACTCAAGTACTGAGGTTGCTTTTTGGTTCTTGGCTATGTCAGGTTGAATACATGATAGGTCAACAAATGTTTCAACAGAAGGAAATGCATCTTTGTTGGATAGCCATTCAAGCTCCTCTTCTACAAACCCCTGAAACATTAAAAAAGGTTTTTCAAGTCAACACAGGCATCAGATCCATGCAATTAATCATAGATGAGCAACCTATGGATCAGGAAAATATTGTCAACACCGTTTTATTTTCTTCTGAACTGAGGAACATATGGCTCCACAATATGGAAACCCTGGAACCATAGTAAATTAGTAATCATCGCGAGTATGAAGAGACAGAATATTCTGTTCATTTGCCAATGTAGGATTTCCAATACAATTATGCCAATAGAAAAATAAGTAAAAATCGCTCAGCACCTAGTAATATTAAAGGACAACAATACCCCATCTTCATTGAACATGCACAGAGAAAAACATAAGTTTTACTAGCTCTTTCAAAATTTCAGAAACCCCTATTCAGATACAAAACACTACTACATGATCACCACAACAAGTGCTCACCTGACCATACTTAATCCAAAATAAAACAAGTTAAAAGTAAATTAGAAATCTTCTACAATTCACTCACCCAAATTGCCACTTCAAATTCCAATTCCAACTGATTCCAATCAAACCATAATTCATAAATATTCTTATTGTTTATCTTTTTGCACACAGGAGCACTGACAAACAAGGAACAAGTCATAACTCAAAAACCAATATACTCTATTTTCTCATGGGCTCGTAAACATTCCTTAAAAAGGTTAAAATAGGAATATCAAACTTACAGAATATGAATGGTTCGGATCATCCAGGACCAATGGGTTAAACAATGATGGATCGTCACATTTTGAATTAAGTAAAGGACAGGATTTTCCAGGTTTTTCCTCATCATCATCTTCCTCCCCTATGTCCGATGAAAAATTCAAGAGATCATCCACCGAACCGATGGCCTCCATCCCTGAAAAGAAAGACATTGAATCCTAAAAGTGCATCTATAGAGAGATAAAATAAAGGAATGGGTAGAGATGTGTAAACAAAATACATAAAATAGTCAAGGAAAGAGTGTGCCATAGAAGTATGTGACTTAAGAAAGTATAAATTTCTAATTGTTTAAATGACAAAATTAAAGCCACAAAATAAATGAAACCAGACTATACAATCTTAAGACGACGTGGTTATGTCTCTCCTATTTAGATGATATGTGTATCTTATGCTAATTTAAGTTTAAATGCCTCATAAAATATACGAGTGCAAAGTATCTGACCATGGAAATCCCTTTCTAAAATTTTTATTGAGCATTGAGACTGCTGTCCTGCCTTGGAAAAACTTTTGCTGGCTCATTTGAAAAGGTTAAAGGTTTTAAAAAAGGTCTGCAACCATGATTTCCTGCAATATCAAGAAGAGGGACGAAACTGCATGTGGAAGTTTGCATTGCATACCATCCTTTCCAGAATCATAGCCACATGAGGCTCTTTTATCTGATTTGTCATGTCTGATTGTAGACCAATTCCACATATTTTCTTACAAGTTTTTACTTGTATTCTCCTTATATATGGACATTGTCTGGTTAAGCTTATTTCTGAAACCAGTACCAATTTTTGCTAAATAACTTTAGTCAATGGTTTTAACACATGTAATGAGGCTAAACTTTTATGACAATCTGCAAGCTCTGTTACTATCTGGTGCATTTTGGTGGAGTGTAATTTTGAAGTTAAATTCACTACCTCTACAATTGGTTCTGAATTAAGAATGAACTATTAGTTTATATTTGGTGTACAGCACAACCTCTTCTAATGAGTGCATCATTAACTTTCATTATTCTGGGGATTCTGCAAAATTTTGCCATTTATTTGGTCCATAATAATCACAGCTATGACAGATTATATAAACAGTGCAATCTATTTGGAAAATCCACAATTCTTTCATGTAGAGGAAAGCCACAAATTAAGAATGGTAACAGAAGAAGAAAAAAAAAAAAGAAAAAAAAAAAAATAAGGGTTGGGAACAAATATTATGATAAACAAAAACATGGGTCTCAACTAGATTTTTTTTTTTTTTTATCATTCTCTTCTTCATAAACATTCATTCAACAACTTCCTTTAACAATATAATATTAATTTTAAATTATTTTTATTTTCATAAACTGTTTTCATGATTATTACATGAATAGAATGGGTTGTTGGATGAATGATTTTTTTTTTCCAGAAATATCAGCTCTCTATGAACTAATCAGGCAAAAAACTCAGACTTACCAGCTTTTCAAATTGTGTACTTGAGTTGTTGCAGCAGCAAAATGAGAGAGAAGAAACCCCAGCAGAGAGTTAAGTTGTGAGGAAGTGAGAGAACGAGAGATGGTGAGGCACGTGTAGGGATTAGGGAAGACTTATGTTCGATGTTCTTGTTATTACATTGTTTTATTTTTTCTAGAAAAAAAATGTTGTCTAGATTTTATTTTTAAAAATATATATAATAAAATATATAGACAATTGATATTAATAATATAGAAATACTAAAATTTTAAATTGTTATGTATATAATTATTATATTATCGTATAAAATTGTTGGATGAATATATAAAAAAAGAATGAGAGTTGATTTTTTTTGTTACGATGACTAAAATTACAAGTTATATTACAATTCTTTCCATTTTTTTAAGATTAATTATAAATGGTAGAAATTTTTTTTATTAAAAGTATATGGTGCAAAGATAACCATTTTAAGAATAAACGAGAGAAAAGAGAAATCTTAAATTCAATTTTAAGGATCTTCGATTTTTCCTAAATTTGATAACTGATTCTACTTTTTAATAATTAAAATATCATTTTATTTAATGATAAGAAATGAAACGTACATCCAATATGGTTGAGTGTTAAATATATTTTGACTATTACTTAAATATATATATATATATATATATATATATATATATATACTAAAAATCAAAATCATAATTATTATTATTATACTTAAGTAAAAGATTTAAATAATAAATCTTCTTAATAAAAATGTATTCACGTAATAATTTTTTATTTATTTTAATATTAATTTTCTTTTCTAAAAATAATGTTAGTGTATAAAGATTGTTGTATGAACGAACTTGTAACAAAATTTTGAAAAAAAAATAATTATCATATAAATTTTATTTTTATACACCTATAAATATTAATTTTTTAGGTTAAATTTTTAATAGATGTAACTAGATAAAATATACTTAATTATATTTAATAAAGAGTTAAATTATCTTTTAACATTATATAATATATTATTACTTATGCTATTTTTATATTTATGCTATTTATTAATATTATTATTACTTTTAATACTCTCTCTATATATATTAGACCATTGAAATTTAATTTTATAATAAATATTAAATATAATGAGATTAATTATATTTAATAAAAGATTAAATTATATTTTTTGTCAATTAAACATTAATTTTATTTATTAATATTAATCATTATAATACTAGTTATCTTCAAATTTTAATGTTTGTATAAAATATTTATATTTTCTTAAAAAATAAAATGTCTATTTAGATCTATAATAAAAGAGACTTGAAAATGTATAACTGGTGAAACAAATTTTAACATTATAAAGGTATTGGTATAATATACTTAAATAAAATAGAACTGATTATATTTAATAAAAAAATAAATTGTGTTTATTAGTGTTAATCATTATAATTTTTAATGTTTAAATATTTAATTTTGTATTATGTAATAAAATTAAATATTATGTTACTACGTATATTTAATTTTAAAAATTTTATTATTTTAAAAAATCTATATTATGTAGTACATACTATTTAAAAAATATTCTTAGTCAACTTTAACTTTATATAATGGTTGATAGGGTGTAAATATAATGAAGTTAATTGTATTTAATAAATAATTAAACTATCCTCTCTATCATAAAATTTTAATAATTAAGGATTAATTTTTATATTTTGTAGTAAAGTTGAATAAATGTTTTTTTATGTGATGAAAAGGATAAAAAAATGAAAAAAAAACAAAGAAAATTATAGTTTGATAATTAAATATTATCTATGATATTATGTAATAACATTGAATATTATCTGAATGTTTTTTTAATGACACTAAAATATATTTTACAACAATAATAATTAAAATTAATGATAATAAAAAAACATGTAAGAAATTCAAATGATTATTATATTAATTAACAATAAAGAATGAAAATTAATAAAAAAATTTGTATTTATATTATCATGTTTATTTTTTTACTTAGTTATTGAAATATATTTTAAAAAATACATATTTTAAATCAAACAATTTTTTAAATATGTTGTAAATTATTTAAAATAAGATAAATATTTTAAAAATTATAAATATTTTTTTAATTAATTAAGAATTATTATTTCTTATGATACAGACTAATTTTAATTTCTAGAATAAATTTTTGTGGATTTTAATTATTAATAATATTTATTTTTCTTACGGTAGCTTCATGATGTATTTAATAATATATTAATATATATTTAATTATTTTCAAGTTTTGAAATACATTAATGTAAATAAATAGTTTATTATATAAGTAGGGAAGTAGCAATCTATTAAATTTGAAAAAAAAATATTAAAATTTTAATTTTGAAAGTTAATTATTTAATAAATATATTAAATTTAATATATTTATCATAAAAATAATATTTTTTAATCAAATAAATAATATTTATATTTTTGAAAATATTTATTTCAGTTCAAAATAATTTAAAATATATTAAAAATTATTTTATTATAAATATATATTTCATTTAAATGTTAATTAAATTATATTATTACTATTTAAAATAAAATTAATTTCAATATATTTATTTAATGCTCTTTTGACGCTTATATATTTGTTATATATTATAAGTAAGATAATTATAGATTTATCATTCAGTAATTTAATTTTTTAACCTATGTTATTATTAAATAATCATAATATTTTTAAATTCTGATAATTTATTCTCTACACATTACTTTCACATTACAATTTTAATGATTGTGATATATATTTTTAATATAGAGCAACAATAATTTTATTTGTAAATATAAAAATATTACTTTTTAATTAATAACTTGAGAAAATATTTCCATTGTGTGAGTAAAAAGTATGCTACATCATCCATAAGTTGGCTTTCCCCTTTGCATACGTGGCAACATTCAAGAAGTATTTCTTCCCAACACCATCCTTAACTCAACTTGTTTCCTCCAACTTTCTTTGAGTTTTGCAGAACCCACTACCCAGAAATGAAATTGTAGAAGCACTTTAACGGAAAACATGAAAGGGTTAGGTATTCATACCCCTTTGGTTTCGAGGGGAAAGCCTCCTCCTTCCCCGGTAGTGGTGGATGCGTTGCCTTCCTCTTCTCATTTCACTAGAACCACCATCCTATTTCCATGTAAGTTCTAACCAACATCTATGTTCTTTTCTCACACCCCATTTCTAAATTTTTCACTTTGATGACCTATGCTCTCAAGTCTTATCCTTTACTTTAAAATTTACGTGCATTTTTTTTGGTGGGTACTAGTTCATTTGTTTTTATTACAATGAAAAGAACTTGCTTTGATGGGTCATGTCCAATTTGGTGGGTCAGTTAACAAATTTTCACCCTTTGGGCGGTTGACAAGAAAGTTATGTTTTTCCAAGTAAGTATGGTAACAAATTTAAGATTATATCCAGTGGTAGTTACTTTTTCTGTTGTAGTGTGAAGTGATTTTTTCTTGTCTTCAATGCTATTATTTTTGGTAGTGAAATTGCTGAAATCAATGCTTAGTTTAAGTAGTTGTAGTTGTACTAGTCACATGTTTACAGCTAATTCTAATCCTCGAGGTCTGAATCAAATCTTATGAGTGGATTGTATGCTCTCTCACATTTATTAGACAATGGTTAGCTACTTAGAGCTTTTTATGTGGATTATATTGTTTGTTACTTATGTTTGTTGGCTTAGTGAGTGACATTATGCCTGAATTATATACAGTAAGAAGCAGACAGAAATCAGGGTTGAGCTTTGCCTGTGGAACCATTCGAGCCCAAGCATCCAATATAAGTGGTGTTGAACCTGGAGATTATGGAAGCAATGAGAAAAATGGCCACAATGTCTTTGAAAATAATGCTATAGACGACAGTTCTTCTAAAGTGTGAGTTCCACAGTTCCTCTTGATTGATCTCATTCATGGCCATTTAGACCATCACACTGTGAGATGAAAGGTGCTCTAGGAACTTATTACAATGGACTTTAGCCTTGGCACTGAGTAATGTTTGTTTGTTTGCTTTTATGATTGTGTTCTCCTTTTCCATCTTTTATATGTGAAATTATTTTGTAAATTTGCCACATCACATACGTATATTTATGAAATTGTGGTGTGGCTGGAATTACATGGTTCAGTTATTTTTATTTATACAACTGATATGAGAGACTTATAGTTGATACTTTTGATGGACGAGGTAACCAATCATGATCCCAATTCCTAACCTCAAATCTGATGTTGGTCACATGAACTTGGGTCAATAAACCTGGTTCCACTGCACCACATTTTTTATCCTCTTAGTTATTTGTTTTCAGTCTGAGCCTGCTCAAGCATGGACTTTTTACGTAGTTTTTGTTTTTGTTCAAACAATCTTAGATGACTCTCTGCTACATGTTGAATCTAATTAAAGCTAGGGTTGAATTTGTGCTACTATTTTTTGAGGAAATTGCATTCCTCCATGCTGTATAACACATCATATGTCCTATCGGCTTAGCTTGACGACTCTATTACAGTGCAAAATATATTCCTCTTGCTGTTGAGATGTGAAAGATTTGTTCTATATTAGGTAATAATTTGAAGAGAAAATCGGTGGTATTCATATCATCATTAATAAAAGATTAGTTATTTAGGTCACACAAGTAGAATGCATTCAAAGGGAAAAACTCTCTGATTTATTCAGCAGATTGACAATAGATTAAGTAGAATGCTTTTTTAAGTATATTTTACTATGATTATTCATGGCTCTGTTACAATTCTAATGTACATATATTTTATGGTTTGACAGTGTGAAACCTCCTGATCAGATCCCTTATCCTCTATCTATAGCTTTTGTGCTGTTGGGATGTGCTCTTGTCTTTTCACTAATTGCATTTGTCATCAAAGGGGGACCTTCATCAGTTCTAGCAGCACTTGCAAAATCAGGATTCACTGCTGCATTTACATTAATATTTGTTTCTGAGATTGGAGATAAGGTAATTTCCTAGACTTTCTATTAGTCCTTAGGTACTTTTTAGGTATAAATAAGTTCCCAGTACTGTGGATAAACTTAATTGAGTTTGTGAAGTACCTCTCACCTTAGGGCTTAAGATGTCTAGTGGCGTCTCAATAATGGGTTTTCTATTTGCAATATAACCCATGACGAAGACTTTCTCCAAATATGCTCTAAATAATTGGATCTTTAAACCAGATTCATATTTTTTCAGAAAAACAATTTGGATCTTTTGAAATCAGTTTAAAATCGGTTCAAACAAAAACTAATGTTTGGTTCAAAAAGCATTTTAGAATTAGTTTTTTCTTCAAAACCAGTTACAAACCAAACACTTCTTTTTAAACCAATTTAAAAAGAAACAAACTGGTTTCATCTAAAAATTAGTTTTAATCTGATTTCAAAATGAAAACATTTTATTTAAAAAAATCTAGTTTCAAAGACAGTTTTTGCAACTCCATGGAGATAACCATCAATTATGTGTCAAATCTGCCAAAGAAACCTAAAATTAAGAAATTAATTAGTTATTACATGTGACCAATATTACTTGCTTGCAACAATTTGAGGAAATAATTGTGGTACCATATACCATTATTTTCACTAAGAGGTTTAATCCAGTTGGTTGAACAATGTGAGTGAGTCATAATGAAATCATGATATTGGTGTTGAACTCATCTCTTTGAAGAAGAAAGAAAGATGGTCATTCTTTTTTTACACTACTGACTATCAAATTTTACGTTGATTACATGAAAGGATGGGTCCTAAAATAGTAGACAATAAACAAACTAGTACATTAAAGACCAATCAACAAGAATTTTAGTACTCAATTAGGTCACAATTGGGTTTACTATTTTAGGAAAGTAACCAACCAATAATGATTCTTATTGTGTGTGATCAACATGAAGAATACTCATCCAAGATTGACTCAAGAAGAGGATAAAGAAAAACAGGGTTTAAAAAACAGGCCCACTTGGCTCTTAGCCCTGTTCTACTCAAGTATTCTTCATGGGTGCCACTTAGGCACTTTTTCCCCCAAAAAAGAGGAATTGTTGGTTCTATAGCTTACAAATTAAAACTTCATGAGCAACTAGATTAAGTTTTTCATATACCTGGATGAGCAGAACTCGTCAATCTTAATGTTCTAGGAAAATATCAGCTTAGTTATGAAAATCCTACTGTTACTAATATTTGATAACATTATTTTGTTTTGTTTTTAATCCTTCTTGGAATGTTTTATGTGTTTTGAGTTTTGCTACAAACTTAACCAAAATACTTAAACTTAATCAATAGATATATTTAGTCTGTCCAAATAGATGTCACTAAATTTTCCTGCCTCCAGCATCAGCTTTTTTCAGATTTTATACTATTATTGCATTGAAATTGGTGCATTGTTTTGTACCCCATGGATGTCTATCACTATGACTGCACAGGTTTATTACTGTAGTTTTTCATTAAACATTTGTTACCCTTGTGGACCTAAAGTTGGCACTTTATCTTTTGACCAGACATTCTTTATTGCTGCGCTCTTGGCAATGCAATTTGAGAAAGGATTGGTGAGTCTTCTGACTTATTTTATCAACAATTTCTCCCTCCTCCTCCTCCTCCTCCTCCTCTCTCAGCTTTTACTGAGTCCATTATTGATGTAATATTATCTAGTTTTCTCTGTCATTGTTTTAATCGGTTGGCTTATATACTTCCTAATTTTTAGAATTGAAATTATTCTTCTCTCTATGGTTTATTTCCTCTCTGTTCAACAAATTCAATTTGTTTCTGATATATTATTACATGGGTCTTTACTATGTTTTATTGTAAAAGGTTAGACAAACATTTTTACTTAAATACTGTTTCTTAACTTGTGTGGCAGCCATCTTTTTCCTTCCTTCATACACTAATTTGTTTGTCAATTCGGTAGTTTTAATTTGGAATAGCATTTGTTTAATTGATAATCTGGTAGTATGCTCATTTTGGGATTGTCATACATATCAAAGTTCATAGTTCTAACTTATTGATTATCGTATCAGTGTAATTTGAATTTTGAAACATTTTATATTTTAACTCAGATTTTATGTATTGACTAGGTCCTATTGGGTTCAATGGGTGCTCTAGGACTCATGTCAATCCTATCTGTTGTAATTGGCCGAATCTTTCAATCAGTGCCAGCTCAGTTTCAGACCAGTAAGTTGTAGCATATGGTATTTCTCATACTGATCAGATTTACTATATTTTAGTATGTCTTAATAGCGAAGGAATTTGACTCAGCATTTTAGGCAGTGCATTCCGTTCTAAAGTACTCATTTAGTGTAATCTGTTTGAAAAACATAGATTAAAGCTTGCTCATGAATCAATATTGTGTATGAATTGGAGTACGAAAATTAGTTTATTATATCTTATGCTTTTCTGAAAATTTTCACAAGTTTTACAGTTTAACAAGCACTAGTGAGTGATTTTTGTCATTATTTTCTATTTCACACCATGGCTTGCTTTCACTTCTCTAAAATTATCTCCACATTTTTATTCTTGTTTTGTATCTGTTTTGATGTACAGCAGTCTGTACCAACTGTAATTAACTTCCAAATATTAAGTTTTTCACGGAATGAGCTCCTACTGGTTGTACACGCTACACATTGTTTAAGCTCTTTTGAAACTGACATTATGATTCAAAAGGACCTAGTTCAGTTGGTCGAGCAGTGTGTGTGAGTTATTGTAAACCTTCTAGTACCTGTTTCTAATACCTATAAAAATAAAAAAATAAAAATAAAAACTAACATTATGATATTTGTCATTTTCAATCAAAATCTGATGCAATTTGTTATTTTCATCAACTTGGACAAATAAGAAACACTGTTGAAAAGCAATTGTTAAATTGGAAACATTATTTTAGCAGATAATTTAACAAAGTCCACATGCATGACAACATCTATTTCTTACTACCCCTTCACGATTGAGGTTAGATGGGTAATTTTGGAAATGAAATGAAAGCAGTAGAAATTATACCTTTGGAGAACTTTTTAAGATGTCCCACATTGTTTTGGAATATGCCTAATGTATTCCCTATAAGTTGAGATTGAGCTTGGCTCCGTTAATTTCTAACAGAAACATTAGGGATGTATGTACAATTAGCCATTGGGAAAAATTAGGCTGATAGAAAATAATCCATTTTCTTCTAAAAATAAGTTGGAAGTTGCTTTAAATATCTCAGATTGGAATGCAAGTTTCAATGACCTTCTTCAACATTGATATAAACTGACCTGCCATGTTGGCCCTTCTGAGGTTCCACTACAAGAGAGCTTAAATTTTATTGATCTGCAATAAGTAGCTTTTGGTTTTTTTCTGTGTGTCAATTTGTTTTGATTATTCCCTGCACTTCTACATCAGATAGCAATATCTGAATTTTGTATTTCATAATTTTCTTTTATCTTTGTCCTACTTTAAGTCAATACTTTTGGTCTCAGTTAATCTCTGTTTTGTAGTATTGGATTCTCTTTTCACCCTGACAGAGAGTTGATTTAGATCAATTGTTATGGTAGTAAATAATGTTTCTGCTTTGTGTGGTTTACTTACAGCCTTGCCAATTGGAGAATATGCAGCAGTAACTCTTCTTTTGTTCTTCGGCCTAAAATCAATAAAAGATGCATGGGATCTTCCATCAGATGTGGTTAAGAAGGGTGATAACAGCAGTCCCGAACTTGATGAACTTGCTGAAGCAGAGGAGCTTGTGAAAGAGAAGGTTAGAAACCCTATATATATGGTCAAGAGTCCTGGATCTTTGTGCAGATGTAAACGTTTTGGTTAATTTTTTATGATACACAGCTCAGTAATATATCCAAGGCCGGCAGCATATGTGCTTACCTTATTCTACCTTCATATTGGCTATTCAACTGTAATTTATACCCTTTAACCATGTCTTTCTGAATTATCTTCAGGTGTCAAAACGACTTTCAAATCCATTTGAGATTGTATGGAAATCATTCAGCCTCGTATTTTTTGCTGTAAGGCTCCTTTTCTCATCTCTTTTGTATTAAGGAACAACTCAACATAAATTTCTGATTGTAAAATCATCAACACTATAAAACAAGTGTATTAATGCATTGTCAAAATCTTACTGTATGTTGCATTTGCTCAAAATGTTCCCTCTGATTTTCATGAATATAGGTAACCTGAAATTAATACTTACCACTCTTGATCTTTTTTACGCCTGAATGCTAAGTCTAAATAGTTATTTCTCATTTAAACTTTATAAATTTCATGTTGTTGGTCCTAGGTAATGATTAATCAAACACTATGTATAGCAGGAAGCAATTGTGTTACTCAGCATGAATTTTAATTTAGTCACTGGAATTATGTAGGAATGGGGAGATCGCTCTATGCTTGCGACTATTGCACTAGGGGCTGCTCAGGTGCACTTTTAAATTCTGTGATGACACATAACATTTTACTTCATATATATATATAAACTTCAATAATATTTTATTTGTTTCAGTCTCCTTGGGGTGTGGCAAGTGGAGCAATTGCTGGACACCTGCTCGCCACAAGTATTGCCATTCTTGGAGGAGCATTCCTTGCTAACTACATTTCTGAAAAACTGGTACAAGTCATAACCTAAATGAACATTGAATGCTTGAATTTTTAATTTGATATCTAATAATGTAAGTTACTTTATCTTTCATCAGGTTGGCTACTTGGGTGGAGGGCTGTTTTTAATTTTTGCTGGGGCCACCTTTTTGGGGGTTTTCTGATTCATTGTTGTCTATCCATACAACTTTTTTGTGTGTAATATATCATTGATGGAGCTGAAAGGAATAAAACATGCTCAAACATAGAGGACAGAGAAAAACTCATTTTAACTTTGTTAAAATTTCTTTAGCAAACATTAGGAGCAAATTGATCATGTTGTCAGAGAATAAGAAGCATGAAATGTGCCATTAGAGTGCGGTATGTAGAGAAACTTGTGTAATTCTTTCTGGAGGCTAGCTTTTGTTGGGGTGTGCTTATTTGTTGTATTAATCAGATGCAAAGAAACCTGTCTGTCTATCAAAAGCATTCTGCCCTTGTTAGAAATAGAAGCTTCTCTACTGAATATATTTGAGTTATCTCCAAATTTTCACAATGCAATACAGAATATCCAAACATATCATTCAAAAGAAAAAATATATCAAGACAACACCTCATTTCATTTTGAAAGAACGAGCTAAAATATAAAAATTTAGAAAGAGTAATCTAGGATGTAGAGCTATCTTGGTATTTTTAGAATGTAGGAAGAAATGCTCAAGTATCAAGTAGAAAAATATTTGTAAATAAAGTTCAATTTCAACCCTAGGCAACAAGCACTTCCAAATTAATTTTCTTTCAATTATTTGTTTGTTTTGTACAGATCCTGATATTAAGAACAGCTAATAAATCTTATGGTATGCTTCATTTCACATCAAAAATGGTTTTAGGTGATTTGTTTAAATCAATAATTAACTGAGAGAAGATCCATCAAAAAGGTACAACGTACTTCCCATCATTTTTAGTTTGTTTTAAAGAAAAAATGTTAACTTTGATAGAAATTGTTTGGGATAGAAATTCTTACTGTCGATTTCTGTTTCTATGGATGTCATATCGGAAGCAGGAACTGATAAACTTGTTATATGGATGCAATATATACTCTTCACCACATTTTCATTCACGCTCTCAATGTTGTATACCACTTTGGCTATCATTATTCCCGTGATTGTTTTGATTATATTTCTTTGCCTGATACAAGTTAATGAGGTAATTTACAACATTCCTGACGTGCAAAGGATGAAAATGACATAGAAGTTTTCTTCTTTTTCTCATTTTCAAAACAGATTCATTATTGATCCAATAAAGGTATTAATTTGTTATTCATTAGTTTAATTTATACTTAAGCATATAGTTATGCTATTACATTAACATAAAGTCATAAATCAAGTTAATATTATTTTTATATTTTAAAGTAACCATATTATTTCCCCTACTAGATTAATACCATAAGAGGGTTAGAATAACAATTTATAAGTGGACCATGCATGTAGACCTATAATTGATAAAACAAATAGATTTAAGTAAAAATAACTACTTCAGCCAGTTCTCAAAAACACTGGTTTGTCAAGGCTTTGTCACTAATTTGACTTGTTCAACCAATTTTTATTTCGTTAAGAAAAAAAAATACACAAAACAGCTAGACAGGTTACCTGTCCCTTTTTTTCAATATTGTTCATATGTTTAAAATATATTTTTTTATTATTATTGAAAGGGACGTCATCAAAATTGAAGAGCTTGATCAAAAGGGAAGACATGCATGTGTATTTATTCTTTGGGGGGAAACATCTGCTTTATCTTTTGTTCACTTCTGCTAAACCTAATTATAGCCCAAGGTTCAAATATTCTCTGTACAAGCATACTTTTTATTTTAATGCAAGGTGTGGATACTCTCATGTGCACGTTCTAAAGTTTTTGAAGAATTTATCCAACCTCGCCCATTGTTGCAATGGCTTGCCCCTTTGAGTATATAAAAAGACATTATATGATGAGACAAGTAACCATTCAAAACCAACAAAGATGAAACGAGGAAAAGAGGACATGAATACGTATTCATTAGATTCTATTTCTATCTTGCCTTCCAAACGGTCCAAGAAAATAAGAAATTGAAAATGATTAAAGTTTTTTATAAGTTAGAAAACCACTCGGAAATGACAATTTTTAATTATGCAAACATAATAGATACTCGTAGAATACATACCTATCTTGTATAAAGAACCACCCAAAAAAATCCATACCATGAGTATGCTACAAGAGTTTCCGTAGATAAGACAAAAACATTTTTGTAGTTGTTGGCAATCCTTTTGAGTTTCTTTCAAGGTGGATATCTATTCTGTTACATGGAGAGACGTGAGGGTAAGTGAAGTTCATTGATATATACACTGGCGTGATCGGAAAGTGCCATTTGCCAGCAATTCGACAATGGCCTTCTCAAGTCGTTGAGAACCTGTACCAGGTCTCAAGATCTTGGCATCACCCCAAGTTAAACACGTGTTGTTCCCAGCCTCACCTAAGCACCATCCACCGGGAACAACTGATCTAGGACTTCGACCCAGAAGATTTTGGTCAATGAGATCAAGCACAGGATTGTCTTTCTCGAACTTTTCAGCAAAGATAGCTCCACTCCGAATCATGTCATCAAAATCAGTGGAATTCAGTGGTCGAAGATCATTTCTATGGCTGTCTTGAACAGCATATAATAAGTTTTGATTTATGACTGTCCTGTTAAACTGCCGAGAATTGCAGAGAACTGTGGGGAAATAGTTGGACAAGGATGAAGGTGTGTTTGCAAAATACATCAGTAGAACCCTTGGGAGGTTATCTTCTCCCAAGATGCAAAACTCCATGAAACTGCGACTTAAGATAGAAAAAGATGAACCTGCACAGAAAAAGACTAAGATTTACCAACTCTTTTCAATGACAGCAGAAGAAAAAGTATTGCTGAGAACTAAGAATAGAGGAAAGTACAATGATAATAAAAAACAATATATACTGAATGTGACAAGCAGAAAAGCTCTAGACTAAAAAATGGAACAAGACAGCCAATGCCTGTGCACATGTCCAAAACAGAAACTCCTCTACCAAATCTATACCCTTCAATGTATCATAGGTACTTTCTGTGGCTATAAAATCTTATGAAATGTTGTAAATATCAAAATTCTAGGCATTCAACTGCAATGGCAAACGAAGAGATCGAGACACACGAGGATGTTGCTATATATGATGTCTGTATAAGTTATAACAGCATGGATAGAATAGGAATGAGATCTTTCCGGAAGGAGGTTGTACTGGCTCCTATAGAGTGAAAATCTTAAGATGGTTTGTGCAAATAAAACAACCTATCCATGCCTGGGTAAGGAGATGCTAGAATACAGACAATGCCTTTACAAAGATATAAATTAGAATTAAAAACAGCATACTGAAGAAGTTAGTACAATGATTTACTACTTTCTTGTTTTCTAATAGTGCAAAAAAATTTGTTGTGCGTCTGCTACTAAATCAACAACTGAACATTTATGATAATTTCTAATGCTTGTGTAACGAAGAAATGATGAAATGGTGAAAAAGGCGCACATTCAAAGTGACACGGAGCTGGGGAAGAAGATTGCATATGCCAGGAGAAATGAAATGGGGAAGAAGACGCACACTTTTAAGAGAAAGGCAGAAGGCTCACATACTCACTCAGTAGTGACTCGCAAGTCTGACGGAGTCAACATCAGTCCACACTCATGGCCACTAATCTAACTTGTAAACTAGTCCAAGTTTGCGAGTTAACAAGTTTTATAACCATGACTACATATAACCTCTAATGCTTATATTTCTGAACGGGAAAAAAGGGGGAAGGGGGCAAATGCTTTTGGCAACATACTTAGCCAACACCTCAACTTTTCACCAAAAGATGTTAATTGAAATTCTGCATATCTAACCCAGCAACTAGACAAAAGAATATTTCATCTGAGATAACATTATTCTTTTTGTTACTACTTTGTTCCCAATTGTAATGTCTTCTATATGTTGAACACATGATTTATCACATTAATAACCGACATGCGGGAATACCAAGGAACACAAAAATACAGTTCCATGATTCCATCAAGAAAGATTGGCCTTGGAGCAAAATCAAAATCAAACATAACAAATGAAAAGTCCTTTTTATGTTAGAATAAAAAAGAAAAATAATCATTACAACTATTATAATGTAGATATGAATCTAATTCAACCCTACAAAACCAACTTATAAAATGAAGTTTGCACCCTACTTATACTATACTTTTGCTATATCTTTAGTAAATATGAGATTTCCAAATGCAAGAATTGAAAAATAATGACATGTATGGTTTGGACAAATGGTGTGATTTGCGCTCCAAATTTTGGTTTCTCCTATCTTCCTCTGCTTAATTTAATTAGATTATGTTCCATTTGATCAATTTTCTAATTAGAGCCTTTGCTGGTGTTTTTCACACACGTCCAACCAAAATTAGAAAATTTCCATATCTTCTCCTCAATCAAATTTTGTCCTTAAAAGTAAAAACATACGATCTTGATCTTATCTTTTTTTTCTCAATGAATGTCAATCATTCATTAGTACATTGCTACTACACTTCTTTCCCACTCTTTGTGTTTTGACACACTACCTAAATAAAATTGAAAGCCAAAAATATGCAGAGACTCAAACAAATTACACTAAAACACATCCATACCTGTGAATATGCGGTAAGCACTAGGAAGTTCTCTCTTCTGAGTAGCATAAAACATTTCAGTCCCTTCAGAGAGATACAGTCCGGGATCAACAATAATAGGTTTCAATTTCCGTGCTCTACATCACCAAAACACATGGAAAACAAATATCATTCTTGCAGCCCATAGAACATCACCACTAATTATTAAAACCCACTACGCAAAACAAACAGTAATAACAACATAAAAGTAAATACATAAGAACACCAACTTACTCTTTCCATCCAATGTAACTTGAATGATTCACAAAGTTCATATCCTTAGGCAGAAACGACAATATGTGGAGAAGATCTGACACATCACAAGAGATTCATCATCAAAATACCGAACACATGGTTAAGGTAACATATAAGAAGAGCAAAACATCATTTTAGCACCTGAAAGACGAAAATCACCATTTTCATCCCTGAAAAATGTAAATTTCTACAATTATGGTTCTCTACTTCAATATCAATTTAAACACTTACAATTACAAATCACATTTTCATCTTTTGGAGATTAAATCATAACTTCCATCTTTCACGACTACAACAGACTATGAATCTTTCATTACCTAAAAGTAACAAATTAATATCACGTAAAGAGAGAAAAACCTCCTTCTAGTACCTAAAAACTATAATATTTTGAGTTAAGCCCGTCGTCACATTGTCAACCAATCAAAATCATTGTCAGTATGATTTCTACGATATAGGTATTATAAAAGTGAACATACTTCTCAAATATATGATTTGTGATTGAATTACACTATTAGCACATTCACTACTTAAAGATTTAATGCTAGTCATATTAGTCCAAAAGCTCCAAAATCTGAAAGATGCCATTTTCACCCCTTAAGAATAAAAAAAGTTAATCCATAATTGCCTGAAGCTCTATATTCAAACACCAATTTAGTCCCTAAAAATAACAATCCAATCCAACTACTTTATATTCCCAGTAGTGAAGCTCTCAAAAGCACTTAAACCTGTTATCCACCCATGTCCTCTCAGTCACTTTATTCCAACAGACAATTCTCCATCCCTCAAAAATACAAAACTCCATCAATGCAATACAACCCTTCATCTCAACATATAATTAGTCTCTAAAACCAACATCTAATCCGTCCACATTCTCATATTTCAAAACTACCACCACCATTTTCAAATCTTTGGGACCAAAATGTCATTTCACTCTAATTAATTCACCACCATAGCATGATTCATACCATCTTGCGTAACAAGAGGGTAAGCATCGGCGCTGAGGCTAATGAACCAGTGCCAGTCCTGCGAGAGGCGGAGCAAGATGGAGGCGGCGTGGAGGCGCAGTGAGACTGGGGAGGATCCTTTGGGGTAGGCGAAATCGGGCTTCCCCATGACGTGGACGTTCTGCGCGGCCTTGAAGACGGGGTTCGACTGGACGGCGAGGGCCACGCGCTCGCGCTCCGCATGGGGGGCGGAGGGGTCGAGGTGAAGGAGGTAGAGGTTGAGTGGGTGGTAGACGGCGTGCAGGAGGCGGAGGATCCGGGCGGCGTCCCCACGGGAACCGGAAATGAGGTAGGTAAGGGCGGGCGGGGGAGGGGGGGAGGGTTTGTGGGGGTCATAGACGAGGCGGTGGGTTTGGGTCGGGTGGAGAAACGGGTCGGGTCCTGAGTGGATTTGGCTGGGGGAATAGGAGAGGGAGAGGATGAGGGTGAGGGAGAGAAGGGAGAGAAAGAGGAAGGTGTAGAGGAGGATGAGGGTGGGTTTGGGCTTTGGATCTCTTATGTTGAAGAATGTGGAGGAAAATGAAGATGATGATGAAGATGGAGAAGTTGGGTTTTGCATTTTTAGGTTCTTGTGGGTGAAAATGGTTTGTTATTTTGGTTCTTCTAGTAAGATCTCTCCCCTTCCTTCATCTTTCATGTGATGAAATGTTGGTTTTTGCTTCACTTGGATTTTGATGTGATGAAATGAAATGTTGTGTGTTTTTTTATGTGATGAAATGAAATTTTGATGGTTGATTCAGTTGGGTTTCTTCCATGTATATCTGTTTGCTTCAGCTGTGGGTTCTGCTTTGGTTCATTTGTTTTCTTTTCTACCACTGTTTTCTCTCTTCTTTCTCTTATTAACTCCTTTATTTTTTTCATGATTTTTCTTCACTGGAGTAAATTAATTTCAACATATTGATTTGTTTGAGTATACATGATCAACAATTTTTTTAGTTATTAAATTTTTTTAATGAATATTAATTATATAGTTATATAAATATTTTCAATATTTATTTTTCAAGATGATATTATCTTATTTCACGAGGATTTTTATACTTATATTAAATAAATAAATAAATTTCGGTTTTCTCTCAATAATTGAGATTAATTATTTGAAACATTCTCTATGCTTGTAATAATTCAAATCAAAACAGGAAAAAAAAACTCAAATCATATATATATTAAATCATATTTATTTATTTTGTTCATACATAATCCTATGATGTAAAACAAAAAAAACAAAAAATCAATAAATCACCTGTTTAACTTTTTAATATATAAATTATAGTTTATCTCATTATACATTTATAAACATATCGTATATTTCTTTTTTCAATTCTTCCCCCTTTATATTTTCTTTTATGTAATTTTTTTTACTTTTGAGTCATATTTTTATGTTTTTAGAATTTTAGTTTTTTTTATCACGTATTAATTATAATTTTGCATGTTGGATATCTTACACTCTTATTAGAGAATATTCTTTTTAAAATTGGACTATTTCATTTTAATTTTAATTTTTTTCTTTTTTTGAATTATTTTCTTATAATTTAGAAATTTAGTTTTTATAATTATTGTTAATTTTTTTAATAGTATTTGTGTAGTGTTTCTTTTAGCATTTTCAGATTTATCCTACATTTATATTTTATAAATTTCACACTTTTATTATTTGCAAAAAGAAATCAAATTTTTATTATTTCATACTTGTTTTTTATTTTTCTAATATTTTTTATTATTTTTTTTACATTTTATGAAATTATTTTACATAGTTACAACTATTAAAAATTTGTGTTGTTTTATTTTATGATTTTCAAATTAATCCTAACTTTTCATGTTGTATATTTCATACTTTCATTATTTGGGATGTTTTTAAAAATTTTCACTATTTCATTCTATTTTCTTTTTTTAATTTTTTTAAATCATTTACTTACGAATTTAATTTTCATAATTACATTTATTAAAAAATTATAAAAAAAATTATATTATTTTTTTTATCATTTTTAGATTTATTATATAGTTGCATTTTATATATTCACACTTCCAATGTTTGCGATATTTTTTTTAAATTTCATTATTTCTTACTTGTTTTTTATTATTTTAACATTTTTTATTATTTTTTTACATTTTAGGAATTTATTTGTTTAAAATTATTATAAAAAATTATTAAAAATTTGTATTTTATTATTTTACTACTTTTACATTAATCATAACTTTGCATATCTCACACTTTTATTGTTGGAGGATTTTTTATTTTTTTAATTTCATTATTTTATTCTAGTTTCTTTTTTCTAGTTTGTTTGAGTTGTTTTTTTACCATTTAGTAATTTAGTTTTTATAGTTACACCTATCAGAAATTTCTAATAATTTTTGTGTTATTTTTTTTACCATTTTCAAATTTATTATACATTTGCATCTTATATATTATACATTTTTATTATTGAGAGATTTTTTTTTTAAACAGATTTATCATAATTTTGCATCTTATATATTCTAAACTTTTACTATTTTTGCAATTTTTTTTTTTCAAAACTCATTTGTTTCATACTAGTTTTTTATTGTTCAATTATTTTTGAGTCATTTTAACATCTTTCAAATGTAGTTTTCAAAGTTATAGTGGTCATACAAATTTTAAAAGTTTTGCATTGTTTTCGTTTATTACTTTCAGATTAATTATAAAGTTGCATCTTACATATTTCACACTTTTATTATTAGGAGATTTTTTTTAAATTTTACTATTTAATTATAGTTTTTCTTTTCTAGGTTTTTTGAGTTATTTTTTTATATTATAGGGATTTAGTTTTTATAATTACACCGGTTAAAAAATTGTAAAAGTTTTTTATTTTTTTCTTTTACTATTTTCATATTTATGTCTTTCTATCTTATATATTTCGTACTTTTATTATTAAGGAGATTTTTAAAAAAATTCATTGTTTCATACTTGTTTTTTATTGTTTTAGTATTTTTTAGTCAAATTTTTATATTTTAAGAATTTAATTTTTATAATTACACCTCTTAACAAGTTTTTTTTTTTATTTTCCTTTACAATTTTCAAATTCATCTATTTCACATAACCCATATATTTTTATTATTAGGAGATTTTTTTTAATTTCATTATTTTATTATAATATTTTTGAGTTATTTTAAGGATTTAGTGTTTGTAGTTACACCAGTCAAAAAATCCTAAAATTTTTTGTATTGTTTTTTTTTACCATTTTCAAATTTATCATATATTTGCATTTTGTATATTCCACATCTTGTTAGGTGATTTTTTGTTTATTTCAAAATTCCACTGTTTTATACTTGTTATTTTTTTTAGTATATTTGAATGAGTTTTTTACATTTTATGAATTAGTTTTCATACTTACATCTATTAGAAATTTCTCAAAAATTTTGTGTTATTTTTATTCACCACTTTCAAATTAATCATTACTTTACATCTTACATATTCTACACTTTTATTATTGGAGAATTTTTATTTTAAATTCTACTATTTTGTTCTATTTTTGTTTTCTGGTTTTTTTAGTAATATTTCTTATATATTTGAAATTTATTTTTCATAGTTATACCTATCAGAAAATTCTACAACTTTTTGTTTTTGTTTTCTTTTACCATTTTCATCTTTATCATACATTTTCATCTTATATATTCCACATTTTGATTTCTGGGCAATTTTTTATTTATTTCAAAATCCAACTGTTTCATACTTATTTTTTATTATTGTTCTAATAATTTTGAATGATTTTTTAATAATTTAGTTTTCATAGTTACGTTTATAAGAAAATTATCAAAATTTGTGTGCTGTTTTCTTTTAACACTTTCACATTAATCATAATTTTATATTTTATATATCCTACACTTTTATTATTGGGGACTTTTATTTTAAATTTCACTATTTCGTTCTAGGTTTTTTAGTTTCTTTGAGTATTTTTTTATATTTTAAAAATTTATTTTTCATTACACTAGGTAGAAAATTCTAAAATTTTGTGTTATTTTCTTTTATCATTTGTAGATTTATCATACATTTGTATTTATATATTCCACACTTTCATTATTGGACGGACTTTTTTTTTTTTTTTTCAAAATTTCGCTGTTTTCATTTTTTTTTTAATGTTATAGTATTTTGAGTATGTTTTTTACACTTTAAGAAATTAAATTTCATAGTTACACATGATTGAAATTTCTTTTTTTTAGAATAATCATCTCTTGGCATTCTATTTATCTCACACTTTTATTATTATTAGGGAATAATTCTTTTATTTTACTATTTCATTCTATTTTTTTTAGTTCTTTTGAGTTATTTTCTTACATTTTTTAGAATTTAATTTACATAATTATGTTTATCAAAAACTTTTTTAACCTTTTTCTTTCTTTTACCATTTAAAGATTTATTTTACATTTTTATTTTACATATTCCAGATTTTCATTATTTTGATTTTTTTTCACAATTCTATTATTTTATACTTGTTTTTTTTATTGTTATAGTATTTTTGAATAATTTTGTTATGTTTTAGAAATTTAGTTTTCATAATTATCTTAGTTAAAAAATTTTAAGATTTTATTTTTATTTTTTTACCACTTTTAAATTAATTATAACTTTACATGTTAGATGTTTTTTAATTTTTTTTACTATTTCATTCTAGTTTTTTTACTCTAAGTATATTTTAGTTATTTTTTTATATTTTAAAAATTTAGTTTTTATTATCATACATTTAAGAAAAATCTAAAAATTTTTATTATTTTCTTTTACTATTTTTAGATTAATTTTAACTTTGTATGTTTTATATCTTGTAATTTCATTATAAATTTAAAGGGTTGATAATTTTTTAAAAATAATTTTCAAATGCAGAATATTTTTTGTTTAAATAATTTTTATGTTAAAAGTAAAAATTTTAAACTTTATTCTATGATGTTATATTTAAACTATGCATCTTATATTTAACAAATTTGATTTAGTTCACGGGTTTAATACATTAGTGAATTTATTGATGTTTTTAATTAAGTTATAGGATTTAGTTTAACTTTATACATCTAATTTTAAATTTGTGCTTTAGTAAAGTTTTATTGAATAATTTAATTTAAACGGTAATAAAAATTTAACGATTAAATAGTCTATAAAAATAAAATATTAAAAAATATAGAAATTATTTGTTTATTATTTTTCATTATAAACAGAGTTGATGGGAATAAAAAGAACAATAAAAAACATATAAAATTGATGAGAAATAACAACATTTTATAAATTTATTTTTCATTACTTTATGTTTGAAATGATTCCAAATTTATTCTATTAAGTCTACTTAAATTATAATACTTTTATTTATCATGAAAAGTTTTATTCTATATATTTAGATGATAGTAAAATTGGGATGAAGAGCTATACTTCAAGAATTTTATTGTTGAATATACTCTTCACATTTATATAATAAAAACCCACCACATATATCTTATATAAATGAAGTTAAATTTTCTGTCTTGATCTATAAAAAATAATAAAATATAAATAAATGTGATTCTCAATTAGTTTAAACACATATAAAATTCCTATAAAACCTTCTTATTATGTTACATCATCTTAAGTCTCTCTTATAAACTTTTGTTTCATAATTTTTTAATTTATATTAATATATATATATATATATATATATATATAGTTGTTGACCCCCTTTCCTATGAACACTGTAATTTGTGAGGCATCTTGTTCTCTCTTCCCCGAATCACTCCTCCTCTTGAGACTGCGCGACTCCGTCTCCTGCAACCTATCAGACGACGGTTGGCGGGAATGTATCCCTTTAATGTTGGGCCGTGTACCTTCGGATTCCCCTAATTCTTGCATTTTTCAATTTCTGCGCATTTCTCTCGATTCATCGGCTCCCTTTCTCTTTCATTTATGTCTCTGTTGGACACTCATGCTCGCACTCCCACTAGGTTAATTTTCTCCCCTTACACTCCTTAATCCTTTTTTTTTTTTTCGCTCTTAGTCATTTACCATTTTTTTCTTTCCACTCTCTCGTCCAACAAAAAAATTCTTTTTAGGTTGCGTGCTCTTTTCGTTGCTGCAACTGAATGTGTGCTATTATGTAATATGGGATCAGTTGAATTAGTTATTATCTGTTTGTATATATTTCTTAGGATTGTTGGAAAAGATAATAAATGTTCAGATTGTAACAGGTTCTCCATAAAAAAATTAAAAGAAAAAAAGGAAAACAAAATGAGATAAGTTTCTTGGTAAGTTAAAATTACCACCTTAATAAACTAGTGCATTATGCATGAGCATAAACTAAAATTAACATGTGTAAATTAATGTACAAAAAAACTTACTCAAATTGATTTGGTTTCATAAGTATTTTCACGAGAAATGATTAAAAAGGAAATATGAGCAAGTTTCTCTCAAATTAAAATTAGTTTATGTATAAGTTAATTTGTTGAAAATTTTTAGCAAAAATGATTCTTAGTTTAAGCATAAACTTGTGAAGTTTATCTAAACATATATTCGAAGATAAACTAATTTTAGCTTAGAATGTGTTTTATTTTCTTAACAAGTATTTTTAGAGAGGTTTATCCAGACATCACAAAGTATATATAGTTTGTTGCAAAGAATGTCCAGTTTTGTGTGTTCGGTGAAGATTCAATGAAGGTCTTACCATCATGTTTAAAATTTTGGTTCTTTTATATAAGAATGTTGGTCTTTGAAAAATAGTCTTGTTTTAAGGGTCATGCTTGTTTGGATTGACTTATTGGAAAGAACACTTTTTAAGAAACTCTACATTTTGAGAAATTTCTTTTCTGTTCTCAAAAAGTGGGATAATATTTCTGATGTTGGTGAGGAAGTTGTTAAGGGGAACTTTGAGGTACATATTGTCTCCGAATGTTCGGTCTTTAGTTGAGTCAAATGGTGTCGTGTGTGATCTATGCAATGCATGTTTGGGATTCAATTAAGAGAGCACATTTGGACTTTTTCTATCAAAGAAACAAATTTTTTGAGATTCAGAATTATGAGTTGGAATTCTTGAAAGTACTTTCCCAACTTTTATCGAACCTCACTTCACCTTTGTTTTTTTTAAATTGTGTCTTGCTGCACAACATAAATAAGAAAGACAATCAAAATGTGGTGACAGAGTAATTATTGAAACTCATGATACTTTTTTTTCCACCATAAATGCACTTCAATATTGTATCTATTTTACCTCATTGGAGTTTGAAAAACTATTCTTTTATTTATGCAGTTTAACTCATGCCACATTAATAACACATGTTAAATCTCGGAGAGATAATCTTAAGCACTGATTGTTGGCCATGGTCATGACTTACATGTTTAGCTAAATTCTTAAGTGGTTAATGAAGCCAGCAACATTTTCAAATGTGTACTAAGAATTTTGTGATCATCTTCGCACTAGTTGGCCCACATTTCCACAATGACAGTGATTTCGGTAGTAAGATTAAATTTTTGGGGATTTTCACACCATTTTCTGATCATCTTCATACTAGTTGGCTCAGATTTGCACAATGGCAGTGACTTCAGTAGTAAGGTTAAGTTTTAGGGAATTTCATTTTATATCATCAAATTTATTTTACAAGCACATGAGTGGATAAACATTTTATAATGTGCTAATATACAGGAAAAAGTAAACAGTTGTGTATGTGAATGGATTTTTCAGCAGTTGACATTGTTTTTTGTAATTGCAGTTGTCAGGATGAAAAGGAAACCTTGGAGAATGAATCTGCAATTGACAGCAATGTTTGTAAGGATGTGAATCTTCAACCAGTGTCAGCTCACTCTTCTGGTGAAGGTTTGCCATATGCACCTGAAGGGTGGCCTAATCCTGGTGATGTATGGGGCTGGAAAGTGGCGGCAAGGAAGAGCAAGGGGGGTTATTTTTATGATAGATCCCTTACCCTTCCAGCATCTCTTCAGAAGGGTTCTCGGAAGCTAGAATTACGAAGCAAGGCTGATATTAAGAGATATCTTAAGTCAAATTTTCCTAACATGACAATTGAAGCATTCTTTACTTTATTTAGCTGGTTGGTTCCCTCAGCTGAGCAGACCCCCAAAGGTTAGCCCAAAACAGTTTCACAATTTTCTTTTCAACCCCATGTTGTTATTTTCTCATTCATTTTTGCCTAGTTTTTTTTTTAATTGTTTTTATTCTGGTATCATCTTGATTGGCTGTAGTTTAAGCCTTTAAATTTTTTCCTGCATAAAAGTCCTTCTATTTGTCCCAGTTTACTTTTTCATTGTTGATGCTTTTCCTCCTTGATTGTCATGAGCCCCTACATTTTTCAACATTTACTCCCATCAAAATGGTTCACGAATTTTACTATTTGTTGGTGGACTTTCTTCCTTCATGCTTCTCCTTGTACGAGGGTGAGGAATCGGATGTTGGTGGTTATTCATATTTTGTATATTTCCTCTGTTTTTTTCCTTAATATGGGGTGAGTCATTTCTTTTTCTGAACACTGGAAAATGTTGGTGATGAGATGAGTTGGGATCGTCTTATTTGCTAGAAAGGAGCAAATCAAGATTCTTTTTGGTCTGAAGTTTGTAAAATAAGTTGGGATCCTCTTATTTGCTACAGGGTAACTTGACTTCTAACTAGTATCTTTGCAACTTTTGTTGTCCCTTTAGCTTGTGTATTTTTCATATTGTATGATTCATACGCACTTTTAACTTCGCAATCACTGGAGACAGGAGAAAATGCCACAGATGATACTGTCACCCAGAGAAATTCAAGATGGAAAATGATAAGTGGCACTCACCCAACAGGAGAAGATGCCGCAGATGGTACTGACACTCAGCGTAAGTCAAAACGGAAAATGAGCAGTGGCAGTCAGCCAACAGGAGATGATGCCACAGATGATGCAGGTACCAGGAGAAAGTCAGGACGGAAAACAAAAAGTGGCCGTCACCCAACTAAGAAATCCTTGGCCCTAGTTCCTGTTGATTCGTGTTTAACACCTGATCAAGTTGCAAATTTTGATGCATATCTTGATAATTTGGAGAACATGCTTGTTATGCCTCATATTGAAACGACACCATTGGATCAGTGGACTTGTGCTACTGTGTTGGATATGGAATCAATAGAGTGTTGCAAGAAGAAGCTTTCTTCCCTTCTTGCTCTAGATTTTCCTTCTCTGGTCTCAAGCAATGATGTTGCAGAAGTTGCAACACTTGCATCTCAAATTCGCGAAGATCCCTGTCTCAGTGTCGATCAACTGTTCAAGTTAAAATTGGTGGAACAAGTTCCCTTAGCTGGTGAGGCCTTCCTTGACGCCAAGGATAACATTGAAGAGGCAGACAAATTCATGGCTGACCTAGTGGCAAAGAAGCTCAAAGTTCCTAGTCTCAAAAAAGAGTACAACTTATTGAAGGACAAAGTGGCTGAGAGAGAGGCTGAAATGGACATAAGTGTTTTATCTCTCAAAGAAATTGATGATCAAATTCTGCAGCTTCAATCAAAACGGAACCGGATTTCCGGTGCCCTTGAAACCATGCAGAAGGATAAAGGTAAACTCACTTCTGAGCTAACAAAAGTTGCCAACTCAATTTCAACCCTTGTTCATGAGATTCAGTCTGGATTATCCCAGAAATCAAAATGGGATCTGAAGAAAGCCAACAATGTACGACGGGTAGCTGAGATACAAGAAAAGTTCCTCACTCTAAGAGGGTTAACGTTTTAATCAAACACTAGTGGCAGTTTTCGTTATGTTAAGAACTCTTTAGGATGATAACTAGCTATGTCTGTGATATATATAATTTATATATCTATGTTTTTAACTAATGGGTCTGTAGGAGGAGGCTTTGTGATCTGTGGTAACGTCTGTAGTTGTTTAAAAACTGCTAAATGACCTCTTTTTATTAAGAACTAAGTCTCTTGTATATTTTAACTAGTCTTTGCAAATGAAACCTTTTATTTTGATTGAGATTTGATATTTCATTAACGAAAATATATCTACAAATCGAAAGTTAGAGATGTTTTAACGAAGATTTATGTAGAAAATGTAGTTAAGATTGTAAAAAACTAAAAATAATTTTATAATTTACTTCGTATGTTAATATTTTTTTCCATTCGGAGTATAATTTTCTTAAACACATTGTGTAGGGATGGCAATATGACAGACAATACGGCGGGGCAAGCAGCATACCCCGAGAAAGGATTTACCTGTCTTGTGTTTGAATTCTTATTTTGAAAAATATTTGGGGATATTTATATATATATATATATATATATATATATATATATATATATTATTTTGATATATATTTTAATAAAAAATATTACAAAATATAATTTAGATAAAATTAATTATAAAATATTAATATAAATAAAATTATTTTTTATAAAATATTAATTTTAATAAATTATAATATAAAGGATAAATTGTAATAATATTAATTAAAAAAAATGATTTTAATTTCAAAATTTAGATAACAAATATAAAAAATAAATATTAATTCTAAATAGTTTTATTAATTAATTACTTTTTATCAATAACTTTATTTTAAAATATTAAATAATTTTTTAATAAATATAGAATATCAATGATATTGTACCTACTGACAAAAGGGTAATTACCGTACCCAATTAATAAATATCTATAACGGATGTCACCGTAGGAAGGTGTAGATATTTTTATATAATATGATGAAATTTATTCTGATAATAAATTGTTTTATAAAACAAATTTTATTTAACTTAAAACAGCTTCTAAACTGATGTTATTCTATTGACATCAACAAAACCATTTAATTTAACTTCTCTCTTCTTCTTTGTCCTAATCAACTTTTTAGTTTTATATATTTCTTGTAATGTTAGAAAGACAACCCTTGCTCTTCTACTCCATTCATCGATTCACGAGATAACCACCGATTCGCATCGATGGCTTTCTTGTGATTTGTTGTTTCCGTTTCTTCTTCTATTCTTCCACACACACACACAAACACACCATCCCCTATCTTTTTCTATGAACACCAACGAAACCCAATGGGGTCCCAAGGCATGGCGTCTTCTCTCTCTGGTTCGCGCCCAATCCCCTCTCATCCAATGCATAACCAACTTCGTCTCCATGGACATCGTCGCCAACACCCTCCTCTCCGCCGGCGCCTCCCCCGCCATGCTCCACGCCGCCCAGGAGCTCTCTGACTTCACTCCCCGCGTCGCCGCCCTCTGCGTCAACGTCGGCACCCTCTCCCCCTCCTGGCTCCCCGCGATGAAGGCCGCTGCTCAAATCTGCAACGAGCACCGCACACCCTGGGTCCTGGACCCCGTCGCTGCCTCCGCCTCGGCCTTCCGCTTCGAAGCCTGCCGGGAACTGCTCCGCCTCAAGCCCACCGTCGTCAGGGGAAACGCCTCTGAGATCATCGCGCTCTCACTCGCATTTGCTGAACTTCACACAAACCTCTCCAAGGTAATCAGTCCATCAATTTAATTATTATTATTATTATTATTATTATTATTATTTTCGCTTAAATATGTTTTTATTCTTTTAGTTTTTAAATTTCAGAGAAAATGTTATTTTGTAGTAATTAAGTAGTACTATGTTAACCTTTCAGTGGTTTTGACGTAGAACTTTATTTTAAATTTATGGGTTAAATATGATTTGTTGTTGTACTTTTTGAAAATTAATTTTGTTCTTTATATTTTAAAAATTAATTATTTAAAATAAAAAACTATGAATATATTTTTTAGTTAATTTTATCACAATAAATATTATTAAATATTGAATTAAATATAAAATAATTAAAATTATATTTAACCATTTTATTTATAAATAAAAATGATTAAAATATATTTTAAAAAGTTAAAAAATTAAATTAAATTAATTTAAAAATATTAAAATTGTGAAAAGTACATGAATAAACATATTTTTCTTATAAATTTTTATTTAAATATCTTTTTAAAATTATATTAAATTATATATTATTTTTTTAATTTGAAAATAGGTTTTTTAGTTTCCCAAAAAATTAAAATTATTTGTAATTACCTAAATCTAAAAGTTTTATAGTCTCCTTAAATTTAGACATTTGTTTTTCCTCTCTTTTAGTTATTATTTCATAATTATAGAGAAATTTATTAATAATTTTATGTTCATTATCAAAATAGGTTTACTTCCATATACAAATTTTAAGAAATATATTAGTTTAATTAAAAAATTTGGGACATTAATGTATCCTAGTATATATACATTTTATAGAATAATAATAATTTTTTTAAGTAAAAATAAATATAATATTATTTTATTAAAAATATATATGTATTATAGATAAATTTGATAAAAAAATTATTTATTTTAAAAATAAATAAAAAAATCTCATATATCTCCTTGTTTCACTCTTAAATTATTATGATAAAATTATTATTTTAATTCAATTATTAAAAAATTGAATGATAATAATAAAGAATAATTAAGGGAATAAATTTTTTTATTATAACTTATATATTAAATTATAATGTTTAAAATAATAATTAATTTTATTAATATAATTTAAATTTTTAAATATATTTTTAATTTTTATTTAAATATTTTTAATTAATTATTTTATATAGACACTTTAATACCTTTTAAAAATTTAATTAAATTAAAATTGACTTATTCACCATAGACAAAAAGTTATAATTTATTTAAAAATATAAGTGAATCATTTTTTTTTATTTAATATGTAAAGTGAAGCAAACGAACCTGTTTTGAGAACTCTATTCATTCGAGAAGACAAAAAATGATAAGTTTAAATAAAATAGAGAATACAAGCGGTAGTGTCAATTATCTCGGATCTTTGAGGGTACTGTAATTAATGTGGATTTATTATTTTGAATTAATATTTTTAAGTCAAAATTAAATATGAAAATTTTTGTTTCATGACTCATTAAGGAATACAAACTTTTTTTTTTTTAAATTATCCATAACTTCATTTGTAAACTTTTTTTAAATGAATAAGTTGTACTGATTAATATTTTTTTTTTAACAAATATATGATTTATAACAAGTTAAAAAATTATTAAATAATACTTAAATTTAACTTTGTTTATGATTTTAAACTCCCAAATTTTAATGAAGGAAAAGAAGATTATATCTACTTATTCCAATTACAATCATTTTACTTTAATTTTAAAATAAAAATTTAAATACACTTTGATAAAGAACAAGGAAGATAAAATATAGAGAGGACTTATGTAATTATGTGAAGTTTAAATTAAAATGAATTAGTTAAATTATTTTTAAATGTGAGGACTAAAAGTTTATATTTAAATTTGGAAAACCAAAAATATTATGTTTATATTCGGCGTAAATTTAAATTTAGGAAACTATGATAAAATTCAATCCAACTTTTAAGAATTAAAAAAATATTTTGACCAAAACAATTTGAAAATGGTCAATTCGGGGAAATATAGAAATTTTAATCCGTGGGGTAAAACATCAATTTGGTCTAAAAAAAATCAGCACCATTGGTCAATTTTGTTCCCAAATGATATGAGAAAGGAAATATAGTACTTGAATTTCGTAGATTAAATTGATGCTTTACGTATTCTTCCTATGATTTTCTTGGTATAAAATAATGAATGTAAATGAGTTATGACTACTGGTCTAATGTTTCTTCAAAAAATTAAAAGAAAAGAAAAAGGTGTGCTCAAGGCTCATTGAAAATTCAACTAAATATCCGTTATTTTTTCTCTCCCTTAAATCTGAAAAAAATAATGTCATTTAACTATGTAATATATATCCATTGTCAAGGGTGTCGACAGTGTTCACGAGTCAATGGATGCAGTTGAAGCTGCAAAACTCTTGGCTCAGACAAGTGGTGCCGTAGTTGCAGTGTCAGGAGCGACTGACATTGTCACGGATGGAAATCGAGTTTTTGGTGCTCACAATGGGGTGGCTATGATGCAAAAAATAACAGCAACTGGGTGTTCAGTCACTGCACTGATTGCTGCCTTTGTTGCCGTTGACAAAGACCATGCTTTGGATGCGGCTGTGTCAGCATTAGCTGTATTTGGTGTTGCTGGTGAGCAAGGAATGAAGATGGCTAAAGGTCCTGCATCGTTGCGAGTGCACTTGATCGATGCACTCTATGGACTTGATGAAGCTACCTTGAATTCTCATGTGAATATCACCCATTTGTGTTGAAAATGTGGAAATCCTTCTTGCGAATGGTAATTATCGTAAAACTCTTATGTATCATAATTACCAGTGGTGTCCACTGATTGAACAGAAAGGGATATAGTTCGGATAAAGATATTTGATTAGCTAAATTATAGGTTTGTAGCAATACAAAATATTGTATAATCAGAACTTTCTATATTTAGTCCTGATTTGTTAGAGTAAAATACTATAACATCATAGTATATGTGTACAAAAATAATATGAATAAAAATTATAGAATGATTTCTATGTTTTTCAATTTGGTATCAGAGCTTATAACTTTTTTTATTTTCTTTCAAAATCCTTGGAGATCTTAACTGTAGAGATGGCAGAAAAATTAATTCCAATGGTTCAATCTGAAGGTGTCTTCAACGCAGACATCATCCTAAATGAATCTAATTATGACGTATGGTCACAACTAATAGAGATACATATTGCAGAGAAGGAAAAATTGTCCTATATCCGTAGGAAGGTGAAACCTCCAACAGAGAACAATGAGGGATATGAAAAATGGTATGCTGAAAACCAAAAAGTGAAAAGATGACTATTGATGTCCATGAAGCCAGAAATTATGAAAAGATATATTCGCTTACCCACTGCCCTCGATATTTGGAATGCTTTGTCAAAGACATTTTATGATGGAAGTGATGAGCTACAGGTGTTTGCCCTTAATCAAAGGGCATTCAGTGCAAAACAAAAAAATAGAACCTTAATTGAATATTATGGGGAGTTGGTTGAGATTTTTAGGGAATTGGACCATCGTGACAAAGTAGTCATGAAGGACCCTGATGATGTGAAGTCATATCAGAAGTCCATTGAAAGATTAAGGGTGCATATATTCCTTGTTGGACTAGATGATGATTTTGAGCAAGTTCGTGAAGAAATCTTGCGCAAAAAAGTGGTACCTGATTTAGAAGAATGCTATGCATTGATCCGGAGAGACAGTCCGGCGAACAACGTTGAAAATAGAAAATATGATTTATGATTCCACAACTATGATGACAAAGAAGTAGCCAACAAATCACCACAGCAAATCGAAGCAATCAAAAGATTTTGAAAAAGGTAACTACAAATATACTCAGTGTAATAAGGATGGACACACCAAGGAACGATGCTATGAAATCATAGGATACCCCGAGTGGTGGGATCACAGTCGAGCATCGAAGAAGAATTAAAAAAGAAATCCAACTACTGCTGCTGTAACTGCCATTGACAAAGAGGACGACAAAGACATGATGCTTGCTACAATTGCAGGTAGTGATGATTCTAATGGTAAGGTTTTAATAAGCACATCTACTGTTCTGAATAATGCATGGATAATTGACTCTGCATGTTCTGATAATGTGACTTTTAATGTTAGACAAATTAAAAATCTTAAACCTTCCTCACAAAAAAGTATATCCACAGCCAATGGTAGTAAATCCACTATTATTGGAGAATGAACTGTCACTATTTCAAATAATTTGAATCTTGATACTGTCCTTGTTGTTCCTTCTCTTAAATATAACTTATTGTCAGTCTTGCAAATAACCAAAGCTCTCTTATATGTTGTAATTTTTGGGCCTGACTCTTGTGTTTTTAAGGATATTCAAACGAGGAAGACGATTGGTTGTGGTATTAGGCGAGGAATGTTATATTACCTGGACCTGATAGAAAAAGATTCAAAGAGACTTGGTCAAGTGCTAACAACAAAAGGGTCTCAAGAAGTAAGAAAAGGCGAGGATGTCTGGTTATGACATAAGCGTCTAGGATATGCATCTTTTGGTTACATAAAGAAATTATTTCTAAATGCATTTGACCAAGTAGACACTTCAATTTTTTATTGTGATGTTTGTGAGCTTGCAAAAAGTCATAGAACACATTTTCCTTTAATTTTAAATAAAAGTTCTCTTCCTTTTATGATCATTCACTCTGATGTATGAGATCCATCTAAGGTTACAACGTTGGGTGGCTCAACGTGGTTTGTAACGTTTATTGATGATTTTACTCGAATGACTTGGTTATGTTTGATGAAGTCTAAAAGTAAAGTTGGAGGACTATTTCAGAAATTCTGCAAAATGATTGAGACCCAGTACAAAACACAAATTCAGGTACTACGCAGTGACAACGGAGAAGAATATATGCAATCAGAACTTCAACATTTTTTAGTAGCCAAAGGAATTGTTCATCAAAGATCTTGTCCAAATACTCCACAATGAATGGGGTGGCGAACGAAAGAACCGTCATCTATTGGAGGTGGTCCGAACTGCACTAATTGGAGCTCACATGCCGGCAATATATTGGGGAGAAGCTCTCACATATGCAGTATACACTATCAACCGAACACCGTCCAGGTCTCTTGAGTATAAAACACCTCTTCAATCACTTACAGATGCAGTAGTAAGTCCTAAAATTGCTGAACTAACACATAGAGTTTTTGGTTGTGTTGCTTACTGTTAGATATGATTAGATATTAGTTGATATTATTTGATATTGTTGAGATATTGTTAGATATTGTTAATCACAATATCAAATAATATCTTTTATTTACCCTATTTTGTATTCTGTTACTCTTTTGAGGAGTACCTTTCTTTATTATAAATACACTGCCCTATGTGTGGTAAATACATAAGGGAAATTAACCCTATACAGTTTTTCCTATATTCAACATGGTATCATGAGCTTAAGGTCTCTTGGGATGTTTTTTCGGCTCTGCCACTCGAACTCTGCAGCCATCGCCGCCACCGTCGCCACCGCCGTCCGCTGCCGCCACCGCCGTCGCCGGAGTAGCGGTTCGGACCGCCGAGCACAGGGTTTTGCTCGCCTCCTCCGTGCGACCTCCACCGTGGAAGTTTCGTGGTCATCGGAGCAACCACGCTCCCCCACGCGCCTCCCGAAGCCGCGCCACCTTCTCCCGTTCCGCTGCGCGTGGCGGCGCGTCTCGCCGCCGTTCAGGCCGCCACCCTTTGCGCCGGCGTCGCCTCCTTCTCCTCTCTCTGGATCTGTCCTCGCTGCTCCAATCGGACCTCTTTGGTGTTTTAGGGTTTTTCTCTCCCTTCCTCCATGGCATCTTCCGCTGCCACTTCCAATTCGAAGTTACCTCCGTCGGCTCCGGTGGGTCCGAGCAATCTGTTTTTACTAATTATGTCAATGTGAATTTACCCATTGATAAATTAGATGGTACGAATTATGCAACTTGGGCATCTAATATTAGACTTTGGCTTGAGAGTCAGGGGTATATTGATCATCTTACTACCAAGGTAGATGGTGTTCCTTCCAATGATCGTGTCCGTTGGAAGAAAGTTGATGCTCATATATGTATGGTTCTCAAGAATACCATCCAATCTTCTTTAAAACAAATTTTTAGATCGTATGGCACATGTTATGACGTTTGGGAACAAGCCAAATTATTATACACCAATGACACTCAACGTCTTTATGGTGTTTGTTACAATCTTCTTGATGTTATTGCTCCTCGAGATAAGGATCCTGTGGCGGATTATGTGGGTAAGATCCATGCTCTTCTCCATGAATTTAATGAGTTATTACCCCTTGCCTCGACTCCTGCCCAAGAATTAGAGCAACGATCAAAGTTTTTCATGGTTTTGATGTTACACGGACTTGCTCGATAAATATGCCCCTGTTCGTGACCGGATTTTGGGTTCCCCTGTTACACTCGGTTTACCGCTACCAGTTCCTCCCTTTGCGGGTGCCATGTAAACCTCTCAATATTCCCCTGTAGTTTCTAATGATTCATCTCGCCTTGGCCTCTCACCGTGATGATCGTAATCGCTCTCACAAGCCAGGCAAAGGGCGTGTCAAGTGTGACCATTGTGGCAAACTAGGCCACAAAATTGACAAATGTTATGCTTTACATGGTTATCCTCGCCGATCTGCTGCAGTTGCTCAGACTGATTCTTCCGCACAATCCTCTGCTGTGGATCCTCCTTTGTCTGTACCTTCAGACAAATCTGCTATCTTCAATGATTTTCTTCAATGGTATGAGGATCGAAAGCCCTCCAGTTCCACTACTTCATTGCCCACACAGGTACATCTTTTGCTTGGTCCGACTCACTCTTCTTCTATTGGCTCTTGGGTTCTTGACTCAGGCGCCACCGATCACATCATCGGTAACAAATCCTTATTTTCCTCTTTCACTTCTTCTCATAATTTACCCTCTGTTACAATGGCTAATGGGTCTACAACTTTAGCTCATGGTGTTGGAACGGTTACTCTTTTTCCCTCGTTGTCCATTGATAATGTTTTGTATGTACCCGGGTCCCCCTTTAACTTATTATCCATTAGCCGTCTAACTCGATCCCTTGATTGTGTTATCTCTTTTACCAAAACTTCTGTTTCCCTACAGGACCGGAGCTCGCAAAGAGTGATTGGCGCCGGATGTGAGTCACATGTACTTTATTATCTTCAACCCTCTCCACATGTTGGCACATTTATGGAGTCTCCTTCTCTCCTTCATGCTCAGCTTGGTCACCCAAGTCTGCGAAAATTACATCAACTTGTTCCCAGCTTATCCCAGTTGTCCAATTTGGTGTGTGAGTCCTGTCAGTTAGGCAAACATAGTCGTACTTCCTTTTCTCGTAGTGTTTCCCAGCGTGCTTCATCCCCCTTTGCCTTAGTTCACTCTGACATTTGGGGACCCAGTCGTGTTAAGTCTAATTTAGGTTTTCAATATTTTGTTACTTTTATTGATGATTTCTCTCGTTGTACTTGGTTATTTTTAATGAAAAATCGTTCTGAGTTGTTTTCTATATTCCAAAACTTTTATCATGAAATTAAAAATCAATTTGGTGTCTCTATTCAAACTTTTCGAAGTGATAATGACCGTGAATATCTTTCAAACTCGTTTAAACAATTTATGGCTTCTTATGGCATTCTTCATCAAACTTCCTGTGCTTATACCCCTCAACAAAATGGGGTAGCTGAGCGCAAGAATAGACACCTTATTGAAACAACCCGTACTCTTTTAATTCATGGTGAGGTTCCTC